TGGTTCAGAACCTCGAAATGGTTTACGTCCTCCTCTTCATCATCGGATGGATCCTCAGATTCTGCTTCTTCTTCGGATTGAACGCCCAACCTCGCCTTCGCAAGTTGTCACTCCAAATCCTGGATTCGTCTTCTTTGTTCTTCAATTTCTACGTCTCGCAGATCTCTTAGACGCGGTTGGTCGTCTGCTTTAGGAGCGCCTCCACGCCCCCGACCACCACGAGCCTACCGTCCACGACCGCGATTCTGTTCAGCCATTGATTCAAGCAATCTGTGCTCTGATACCAATTGATGCCGAAGTGCGATAGAAATTAGGCTAAATAGAAGAATCGAAACGATAACGAGGAACAAACTGTTCTCTCAATCGATTAACAATCAATAAGTTTTCAAAACATCCAAAAAAACTACCGCCTCTCAAAACCCTAAAAACGAGTTTTATAAAGGGTGTTAACCCTAATGACAAAAAAACGCAAAAAAAAATACAAAAATATCCTTAATTTGAAAATTACTAAAATAATTAAAAAAACCATCTAAACAACCCCGAATCGTGAAAATCCATCGTTAGTCGTAGCCTAAGGCTACGAGTATTGATCAGCACGCCATTTCGCTTCAGCCTACATCGTTGACTTCAAACCCGCCAATTTGTCTAATCGTATAACAGGTCCACTGGTCCCCCTAGGTGCACCTAGGGGGACCGGTATTGAAATGACCCACATGTCAATTTTCAATGGTTGGAATTAAGGACTTCGTAATTTGCCAGCCACGGAAGGGCATGACATCTCCCGTGTTATTGCGATTGAACTACTCCTTAGAATGGTGAAACATGCCAGAGCCTTCCTAGAGGAGCGATTCTGACGTTTTCGCTAATCCAATCTAATTGTCGCCTACGAAATAATATCGTTCTAAATGAAATAAAATGAATTTATAATGTTTGATATGTGAAAATTCTGTTCCATTAAATAGGGAAACTTTAAAAGCCGGTTTTTCTCATTTCAATGAAAGTGTTTCATAAGCTCTACTTCATCGATATAATAAATAGAGGCCATTGTAATGTAAAATATGAATGAGTGGCCTATCATTCTAAGTCGGATATTCTATTACACTTCGGATTGTGCATGATGTTATCTTTGGCGTCCGCATTTCCTTTGACCTTTTATATATGGGAATAAAAAGTTAGGGGAAAGAACATAAAGAAGTATAGTGGAGGAAAGGAAGAAAGGAAGAGAGAGGGAGAGAGATTTTTGTTGAAAGAAAAAGGAAAATTAAAAGAAGATAAGAGAATGGAGGAAATGTTGCTTTCAAAAAAATTGAAAAACTGTCATACTTCGTTATCTCCAAATATTTCCTATTAATTTCGGAATTTGGACTAGAACCTCATCACTCTCGTTCAAAAGTAGATAGAAAGGAGATGATAGGTAGAAAGGACAAATCTAGTAACGGAGCAAAAGGTGACCCAACCCAATTTAAGATTCAATAAAAGCCGGCTAGGGTGGTTGAGGTAATGAAGAGCAAATATAGACAGGCTTATCGAGTCCTTTCGAACTGACATGTATATTTAATATAGTCCTTTCGAAATGACATGTATATTTAATATAGTACTAGAATATATTGGATGCAGCTCGATATTCACGTGAGTCATGCTCCACTCCATTCAATGACCGCCGTGTGCCTGCTCACCTTCAGTCTCTTCGTCTCTCTCTTCTGCGCCTGACATTTCTCCTCTTCTTCTTCTTCTTCTTCTTCCTTTCTTCCTTTCAGCCATTGCCATTTTCAATAGCCATGCCCCACGAAGGCCCCACCACCAGCCACCGCAACCTCATGCTGGCCTTGCCCAACTGTGAAGTGGATTTGCTTTCTTTCTTGCCTTGTGGAGTTAAGGGAGGGGTTATCTTGAGTTTCTTCCTATTGGGGTTTTGCTTGTTCTGATTCTGAATTGGTGAGAAAAATCCGGCTTTTATTAGGCGTTTTAGATGATTGTGGAATTAAAAGGGAGGTCTTGATGTGCATTTTGATTTCTTCATCGGATGGTGATTCCCTCCCCGAATATTTAGTTCAACTTATAAAATTGACTTTGCCATACTAGTTTGATTTTGATTTGAGTTTTAATACATCTTTTTGCTAGAAATAATTTTTCTCCATATGAAGCCAGTGGAAGATGATCATAACTTATCTTGTGTGCCACCTGAAGTTATTTTATAAGAAGTTACCTAATTGTCTGAGCTAACTAAGCATATACATTATCGGAAAGTCACTCTTTGTGAATTTTTTTTTTTCGCTACGTGAGACATATATACAGAAAAAAGGGCGTTGAGTTCTAAAAAGGATCTCAAGTATGAAATTTAGATTATCCCAAGGGCAAAAACATTTGTGGAGTCCGTACCAAAATCACATTAAATGCCCTCGATTCAATAGGTGGATGGCGCGCGCGCAATTCGATTCCCACGTTTTTCATGGGACGTACCTAAACATTTTTTGTCTTTACCTGGTGCACAAAAAGTGACCCCATAACATTATTCCCATATTAATTTGATTGGTTGGAATTAGTCGCTTTCGAATGAAGTCGACATCTTTTACGAGATTTTTGTGTTTACTGTTGATTAATTATAGCAGTCATAGCATATCCGGGTACTTATCCATTAGGGCTTGTTGTAAAATTAATGCAAAAACTAACCGGATCTTTCCTATTTCTTTTATGCATGTTAAAATTTGTGACTCATAATATGTTATTATTCTCACGGTAGCCCAAAGATTATTATGCTAGTAAAGTCTTTTCCATTTCTTTTATGCAGATTAAAATCAAGAAAAAATTGAACCCTTTTCTTTATATGGCCAATCAACAGTAGTGTCGCTCGTACGGCATTTGGAGGAGTCAATCTCTTAATTGATCAATGTTGGATCTTTAAGTAATTGCCACCGCTCCAAAGAGATTAGATAAAGTAAAATAACAACCCTTTTCTTGGTTGAACTCCTCTGGCACGGCTCCGATAGGTATTCAGTGAAGAATTCTAATCCGCTTCTTTCAATTCGGGTCGAGTCTCATACGTGGACACATCTTTTAAGAGAGCTCTGATTGGAGCTCATAAATGCTCGCAGTCAATCACGCTTAGGTGATCTGAAACTTAAAAAAATAAAACCCACATTAATATTTAGTTTAACTTAGAAACCTGACTTTGCCTTCATGGTTTTTTTTATTTTTAATTTGAGTTAAAATATATATCTTTTTGCTTAAACTAATTTTTCTCCGTACCAAACCGGGTGGAGATTTTTGAATTTCACATTCAATGATTGCAACCCATGTTGTGTTCCATCATAAGTTAATTTATGAGAAGTTATATGATTGTCCTGAGCTAATTGAGCATAGATATATTTTTCATTGTGAATTTTTTTTTTCCATACAGGCGTTGTATAAACAGGAAAAGGGTGTCGAGTACTAAAAGTGACACCTCAAATAAAAATCTAACATATCCCATATAGACGAGATAAAAAATTTTACCAAATAAATATGAAGAAAAATACTACTATAAATCTAGTGTCACATCAAATATCAAATATGCAAAGTTCATACCTCAATCAGGATTGCATGTACTCAATTGAAACGACCCTTTAGATTTAAGCAGACACTTGTGGTTTATTGAATCTAAACGCTCGTACGCGGTCACAAGATGTCGTGCTTCGTGTGCATGTAAATCATTTCCTACGGCTTCCATGAAACATGCTTAAACACTTTTTCTCTTTACCTCATGCACAAAAAGTGACTTATACATAAGCCCGTCAAACGGTTGAGCCAGATTCGATTCAAATTGATTTATTTAACTTGTTATGATCAATTTTTATACATTACAAATTGAATAACTTATACCTAACCCAACATGTACTCGACTTATACTCGCCCCAACCTGAAACCCAAGTTAGCAATTTTTTTCGCCATAAATTGTTGTATTTGAATAATGCACCGGCTCTATGAACCTATATTCAACCCGATGCATAAATTATCGATTTCAAAATCAATCGTGCTCATAGAATACGATAGTAACATTGCGTGAAAAATATGAACAAGAACAGAGGATCCGATCAATTTGGTGCCCAATCGTCCGGCATTGATTGATAAACATCAAATTAATTAGATTCTACGGTATTTCGAGACCCTTGATTGGCTTACTTTTTAAGGAGTATACATGCATGTCGATTAGGCGTACATCAAATTCACAGAGCATTGGCAGCGAAAATTCCTACAATATGTTCACGGTTACAACTTTTGGCTCGAAACTTTTGTACGGATAATTCGCGAAAGAGCTATCTATCATCTACATTGGGGTTGTTCCTAATAGGAAATGAGAATAAACAACAATTTTGTCCCGGAGACTCGTAGACTTTGCACACGTGGGAGGAGGGCCCACCGAGACTTTGCAACGTTCTCAAATCGACTGCCCCTTTCCTTTATTGCTGGGGGAGCCGGAGAGCGAGCGAGAGGGTCAGATTGGGCCCCATTCTGTGGTGGACCGTAGTTTCTGCACCGGCACGGATCTTTGGTGGTTGGTCAAGAATTAACTTCACCACAGAAGAAAAATCAAAGCTCGCATGTGGCCTCTGCGGCTTGGCCATTTAATATACAGAGATACAAGGACAAGGAGCTTCACGAATGCACCTTCCGGACTCTTCGTCTTTCCTAATAAAAGAAAATTATCTTTAGGAGTTTTACATCCATCTCAAAGTCGAGAGGAGGACCGAAATGAAACCTTACTTGAGGCCAATGTTAGTTGGATACGGGGAAAATCTTAATCTATAGTTAATTGGGTTTTTCAACCATTTACTGGAAATAGATTATGAAGTAACAGTTCTTGATCACCTGTGAAAATAACAGTACGTTTGTGACACGGTGATTCAAAAATTATTATGCTAGTAAAGTCCATTATTAAATTTTGAACTAACATTACTCAACTCATTTCATATGAGTTAAAACGGGGTCAACGATCATTTTGACACCTTTGTTTATAAATAGGTGGCCGGCATTGGGCTCAAGCAACCCCAAACTTCATACACTCCTCCAATTCCGTCTCTCTCCATCATGGATCGTGCTCCTCTTCTCTCAATCAGAACAGAAACTTGTGGAACCTATGAGACACCCTCGCCGCCTTCCCCGGACCCGAACGAGACCAACCAGATCGTCCCAGCCAACAACAGCATGCCCTCCATCGAGCAACAGAACTGGAAGGATCCGTCCATCTACAAGGTCCCCGCCCACATCACCATCCTCAGACCTGAGGCCTACCAGCCGCAGGTTGTCTCTTTCGGCCCCTACCACCACGACAAGGACCAGCTCCGTCCAATGGACAAACACAAGCGCCGCGCACTCCAACAGTTCCTCGATCGATCCAAGAAGTCCGACAAGCCCTTCTTCGAGTCCCTGAGGAAGGTGGAGCATGAGCTCAAGGACAGTTACGACGAGCTGGATCGGAAGTGGAAGGAGTGCACGGGAGACCAGTTCCTGGAGTTGATGATCATGGATGGCTGCTTCATGCTCGAGATCATGAGGACCACGATAGAGGAGAAGCACACGATAGGGGAGAAGCATGGCTATGCGCCCAACGACCCCGTCTTCAGCATCGACAGGCTAAAATACAGACGGTCGTTCATAACGCGGGACATGTTGATTCTGGAGAATCAGCTGCCGATGCTAGTGCTGTATGAGCTGGTCGCCATCGAGAGCGATAACAAGAAGGTTAGTTTCTTAGATTTCGTTCCATCGTTAGAGAGGTTATTGCATGCACATAAACCGCCATACTATGTTCACCTAACAGTACATCTTTCTGATCTCACATGAACCTCACATGGAATCCATCAAATCTAATGCTCTAAAAATGTTGGATGCACGGTTCGAGATCATTCGACAATTTCATTCTTAAATCTATCACTGAGAGAAATCGTAATTTTGCTTGTATTGCTCATCGTTAGTACAAATATATTTATAAGACATTGAAGGAAAAGGGAAAATTTACCAAATATCTCTTAACTAATTATAAGAGATATATCAAATATTGTGCTAGCTAATAAATCCTAGCTAATGATAACTAATATATCAAATTTTAAACAAAAAGGAATGCCCAACTTGCTTATGAGAAATGTGAACCGATCTTGACCCAGCGCCTTGGTAAAAATGTTTGTCAGTTAAAGTCTAGTGGGTACGTGCTTGGTTCTAATGGCCCCCGACTATACATATTCTTGAACAAAGTGGCCGTCATTCGCAATATGCTTTGTTCGTACGTGAAATACCGGGTTTTGTTGCAATGTGTAAAGCGGCTTGGTTATCGCAATAAAGATCCATTGGTTTGTCGTGTAATACCACGAGGAACGCAAGTAAGTGTGCAACCAAATCAATTCACTAGTGGCAATTGGCATAGCGCGATATTCAACTTCAGTAGAGTATTGAGAAACTGTGATTTGCTTCTTGGTTCTCCAAGACATGGGACAATCACCAAGCATGACAAAGTAACACGTGATTAAATGTTGAGTGATCGGGCAACTCGCCCACTCGGAATCACAAAAGGCGGTCAAGTGAAATAAAGTTGGGACTAATAACAAAATCTCTTATCCTGGGTTTTTCTTGAGATATAGAAGAACTCGTATAGCGGCTTCCCACTGCTACTCCTTCGCTTCCTACATGAACTAGGAAAGTCAAGTGATATGATAAAAATTAACGAAGACGTATGTCTCTAATTTTTCCTTCATCAAATAAACCCAAATTGCCCAACTATAATTATCAACAGTACAAACTTTATACAAGGCATTGATTAACAGAAAAGGAAAAGGGAAAATCTACTATATATTTCTTAACTAATTATATGAGATATGCCAAATATTATGCTGACTAATAAATCCTTACTTATGATAACATATACACTGTAAGGAAAGTAAATCTTTAGCAACTCTTTTCTAATAGTCACCTCTACAGGAGACTTTCTTTTTTCCTTTTGGGTTAATACCACAAAAAATCTCAAATTGGTACATATGTGATAAATTTACCCAAAACTAATTTTTGTACCATAAAAACCCCAAACCGATACGCTTATGACAATTTTACCCTTCATTAGTTTTTCGTTAAATTTTATGATCAAATTTCTGAGTTGAATGACACATGGTAGTTGACAGGTGTACCAATTTGAGGTTTTACTCTCTGTTTATCATAGGTGTACTAGTTTATGATTTTTCGTGGTATTAATTTAATTTAATGAAGAGTAAATTTATCATATATACTAATTTTAAATTTTTTGTGATTAATTATTAATTTTGAATTTTTCACGATATTAACCATTTCTTTTGAGAAAGTAGCATCGACGCAACAACGATCTTGTATTCAATGCACTGACTTGACTCCAACATCACAGGACCAGGAAGACGTCAACAGGCTCATCCTCAAGTACTGCTCTGCAACAGAAAAAAAGTACTGCTCTGCGACAGAAAAAAAGTACTGCTCTGGCAGGCCCATCGGCAAATGCCTGCATGTCCTGGACGTCTTCAGGAAGGGTCAGCTGATGATGACTACCAAGAAGGTCCAGCACGACCTGGAAAATGTGGGGCTTCAGGCCACCGAGGAGAACGAGGAGACAATCCCGTTGGCCAGGGGGAAGATAATCGGGTCGGCCATCCAGGAAACTGAGGAGATAATCGGGTCGGCCCCCAAGGAGACCGTGCCGATAATCCGGTCGGCCAATGAGCTCCACAAGGCCGGGATCCAGTTCAAGACGAGCCCGACCGGCAGTCTCGAGGACATCTCCTTCACCGGAGGGGTCCTGAGGCTCCCCGTTATCAAGGTGGGGGACCACACCGAGTCCATGTTCCTCAACCTTATGACTTTCGAGCGCTTGCACATCGGGGCTGGGAACGCGATCACAGCCTACGTCACCTTCATGGACAACATCATCAACAGTGAGCAGGATGTCGCACTGCTCCACGCCGAAGGCATCATCCAGAATGCCCTCGGGAGCGACAAGGCTGTCGCCAAGCTATTCAACTCTCTGTGCGAGGGAGTGCCGCTCGCATCCAACAGCAGCCTTGACGCCGTGCAAGAGAACATCGGTATGCACTGCGAGACGCGCTGGAACAAGTGGAAGGCTCATCTCAACCGAGACTACTTCGGGAGTCCTTGGGCTATATTGTCTCTCATTGCCGCCATCTTCCTCTTCATCCTCACCATAATTCAGACTGTATATGCCGTGCTCGGCTAAATTTGAACCCTCCCGTTGCCTTCGTATAATAATTTCTTTTTTCCATTTTTAGGTTTTTCTTCTAATGGCTGATGCTCGATAATTATCTGGTGATTGGTTGTTGATTGTTGTCATGAATAATTGTCCTCCTGTTTTTAGTCGTGCTTATTTCCTTCTCTAAATGTTTTGAACGATGGACATTTTGGATGTTTATGTATATCATTATCAGATGATTCTCTTGTTTCAGTCGTCTTCATTATTCTCCAATTTGGATAGGTAGTCTGAAGGATGACAAAGTTTTGGGCAAATGAAATCTTCCACTGCAACATTTTCTTTTTGATTAAATTTTGTTGAAGTTGTGGCCAATTTATCCAGGAAAGCCAAGACTCTACAAGTTTTTAGATCTGTAGTGAGTAGTTATAGTTTGTGGTTCTAGCTAAGTTGGTGGGTGTTTAGAAGTAATGGCTAAAAATCTGCCCGACATGTAAAATGAAGCAAATTTCTCTGTTTCCGACGGAGATTCTTAGCAGAAGAGTCGATTTGGAAGGACTATAAAAAGGCTACATGCTCGTTCATTCATGTTCAGATCAACTACAGCTCCATAAATCCCTTGTACCAATCATTTTGATAATAGAAGCAGCTCCAAAAGCTCCTTCCTTGTTCCTTTGCTGAGTAAATTCCACAGACATACACCAAAAGCTAACGGTGGTATCAGAGCCTCATTCGGTTGGTGTTGGGCTTGAGTCCTATCCACCTACTACTAAAATCACCCACCTAAATATCCGACTCCTAAACAATGGCCAACTCTACCTCACTACCATTCCTACTTTCGACGAAAATAACTATATTTATTGGAGCATTAAAATGACTACTTTCTTCATGGCACAAGATTTCTTGGACATCATGGAGAAAGGATATGTGGCTCCGTAGGAAGGTACAAGCTTCCGACGGAGCAACTACAAAAAAGTTGCAAGGGCTCTGCATGTCATCCAACAAGCACTCTTGGAAACAATATTTCCACGAACCATTGGAGCAAAGACCACAAAGACGTATTCTAAAATAACGCAAGAGAACAAAATCACTAGAGAAACTAAACGAGGAATAATAAGGAAAGATTTACGCGATTCAACCCGACCATCAGCGGCCACTTGACGGGGAGAGCCAACTGCAAATAATCCACCAATCAATTTGAGAATTACAGAGTTCACAACATTCAAGTGTTTCCCTGCCCAAGATTACACTCAAATCCGTAGTGTTTGGCTTCACATAATTGCTCAATAAACAAAACACGGAGAACTCCAAACACTCGCGTCTTCACGAAGAAAACGCCTAAATTTGATGTCTGCACAAACTTCACCCAATGTTCGGATCTCCTCTGTGCCACCAACGAAAAGAGAACTCCACTTTAAGGCTTGAAGAAGTCAACGGCACACACAGCCCCACGCAAATCCACGTTTCTCTTTTCACTTCTGACGAGCACCAACATATCCATATTAGGGGTGATCAGTTCCCCATCCAATTTGCTTTTCAATTCCACCGGTCCAATCTAGTCCAATGGAACCAGACCAACCAACTGATTGTATTTATTTCTTCAATTTCTTACACTTACTATTACGTCAAACAGTCAATGCACTATACTAAAACTTTTTAACCTTGCTGATTAATTTCCTTTAGGATTAATTTCCTTTAGGACATTGAAATGAAGAGTTATTTATAAACATGGGATCAAGAGTTCGAAATTTCGAATTCATTTTATTAATGATAAAAAATATATATATGTAGTCAGTCTGGTCCGGTCAGTCCGGTTCAGTTTGGTTCCTTTGGCACAGGACCGTCTGGACACCGGTTCCACTTTTAGAAATTAGAAACCGGACCGACACTCCCGGGGACCGGACTAAACCGGCCGGATCAGTCTGGTCCGGGCGGTTCCTGGTTTGAGCGGTCCGTTTTGCAAGTCCCTAATCCATACAAACTCCTATTTTTTGTTCGGCTATAAGGAGTCCAGTTAATGTGCGGCTTGGATAAGATTACAACAGCCCCCTCTATCAGTTCTAATCCAAATAGGATAAGTGTGCTGGGCTTTAATCCAACAAGATCAGTTTAACAAACCAATTTCATCCTCCAATCGGATTGGATTTTGTATACAGCTCAAACTCGTAACAAGATATAACGACATACTAAAGAAGAGTTCCAAGACACAACAAAGGCCTGTGCCATTAGATTTCAATCTCTTCAAAATGCTAAAATAAACAATTATGAGACTCTCAAACAATAATGTGGAAGATTAGAAGGACAAGTAAATCAAATGAGGGCTTATGGAGATGATATCGGGGTAGTAGAAAAAGTATTTGCAACACTTATTAGACATATACAATCCTATTGTCACCTCTATAGAATAATCTAAGGGTTTAAAAACCATGTTAGTGAGTGAATTAATTGGATCTCTAGAGGCGTATGGAAAAAGACTAATGCTACAAGATGAAGATTCCGTTGAAAGTGATTTTCAGCCTAAAATAAACATGCGGTCTCATAAATCTAAAGAGGGTATAAGGAGCTCGTGGAAAAATAAAAGAGAAGGAGAAACCTCTTCGAAGGAAAAAAAAAAAAAAAATCTACCCTGCAGTATTTGCAAGAAAATAAATCAGTTAGAAAAAGATTGTTGGTTTCTAGATAAACCAACCACAATAGCCCTCACGTAAAAGATATAGCCACGTATAAAAAAAATTTTGGTTGAAAACAAATTATCGAGCTAATTATGTTGAAGAAAAGGAAAATACGGATAATATGTTCAGCGCAAGCGAACTGGCAAACGTCGAAAAAAATTATACATGTTGATAGTGGTGTAGTAATCACATGACTGTGATGAACTATGTTCAACAATATTGATACATCTGCGAAAACCCAAATGAGATTGGGCAGCAGCGCATTAGTCAATGTGAAAGGAAAATTGAAACAATTAAAGGCCGAAGATATTATTCATAACGCAGATCTAGTCCCTAGTCTAGCACAAAACTTTTACTCAGTGTGGGCCATATGACACAAAATGGTTATTCTTTATATTTTAATGGAGATACATACACCATCTACGATAAGTACAAAAATCAAATTATTGCCTTTGTTAAATTGGAGAATAAGAACTTTCCAATTCGATGAAAATATGACGAAAATATAGCTATGAAAACTCAAGTTGATTTTGACCAAAAGAACTCGAGTTGATGATTCATGGTTATGGCACCGGAGACTTGGCCACTTCAACTTTTACTAAGCTAAAGATTTTCCATCAGAAAAAATATGATGAGAGACTTTCATCTTAGATGTTTGTGAAGGCTGTCTCATTGGAAAATAACAAAGGCAGTCATTCGCATCTGGAAGTGCATGGAGTGCTATAAAAAACCATTGAAACTTAGTTCATTCTGGATGTATATGGTCCAATGAGGACCCCCGCACCCAGCCGATATAAGTATTTTATTCTCTTCGTCATCGGGTCTACTTTCTTTGAGAAAGATCAGAAGTTTTCTCGATTTTCAAGAAATTCAAAAATCACGTCGAGAAGCAAAGTGGGTGGGAATCAAGATCCAATGAAGCACCTAAGGCATCAAATACAACTCCAACGAGCTCGACAAATTCTGTGAGGACTAAGACGTTCATGATCAACTAATAGTTGGCTGTGCCTCATAGCAAAATGGAGTTGCAAAAAAAAAAAGGAATAGAACCGTCATGAAGATGGCAAGGTCCATGCTAAGGGAGAAAAGACTTCCTAACTCATTCTAGGCAGAAGCAGTCTAGAACAAAACTCCAGTCGAAACATGGATCGGGCAGAAGAAGACAAAGAGGAATATTCATCAGCTACAGAGACCAGTCAAAAGGCTATTACGTCTATAATCTAACAACAAAGAAGCTGATGATCAATCAAAATGTGGAGTTAGACGAGACTGTCGCTTGGAACTAGGAGGAAGAGAAGATCGAGAAGTATGTCACTTTGCCAGACATACCACCAGCACGTGACGAATCTGTTGCTTCACCTTTTCCTTGAGGAGCCTTTTCCTTGAGTTGTCGACTCAAACTCAAGGAAAAGGCGAAGTTCCTTACATGGGTGAGATTAGGGACAAGGGGCAAAGACCATCGAGCTTCGATTAGAGAAACTAGCACCATATGCCAGACATGTCTTTGGCCGTCAAACGAGTGATCGAAGAAGAAATGGAAAATTCACCAGCTCACAAGTCAAAACACAACCAGGCCATATAGCCCCAAGGACGAGGATGACTCGCTGAAAAAACCTGTCCCTTAAGATCCACAAACAGCCTTTATAAAGACAGTTAGAAATCGCGAATGCTGCACAGTCGAATCAAAACACATATGGCAATTTTTTTCACCTCCCAAACATCATTTGGTTGGGAAATCATGTGCCGCAATATCAGATCAAATTACTTTTCATCAGATTCAACCACCTTTTCTAATGCCAAAGAGCTGCAAAATCTGAAGATCTGACAACTGTGAGCAACTTAGTCAACTTATAGGATTCACAGAACATTCAAGTCTATCAGTACGCATACTTGATTTCATGAAGGAACTCATGGTAAAACTTCCCCTTACTTCATTTATCAGATGTTACACACTATCCTCAATGTAAATAAAGAAAGAAAATTCACCTCCGGAGAATAATAGCTCCACCATAGTCACATTGCACATGGCATTCGGCATTACAAACTCAATTTTTTCCCTCAAAATGGGTGACAATAGAAACTCAAGAGTACTCGCAATCCACAACTTTCGCCACAAGAACATTGGATTTTGAAGCAAAGTTCTACAAGTTAGCCAACCAGGTCCCTCTACTGTTATGCATCGACTCACAGCTGACTTGGCTGGAGAGCTAGGCTAAGGGATGCATTAGAGAGAAAAACATGGAAGTGAGTCTATGAGTAGAAGAGCTTCATACAAGATCAAAAATGGGGGAGCTCACTCGTCCATATCCTCTTCTCCATCGGCTTCCGTCTCTTCATCCGCATTCCTGAGCTGACCGCACACATTACACTCCATTACATCAGAAGGTGCGCTGTTCGACGGAGGCAAAGGAGCCATCGTCCCGCCGCAGTTCTTCCTGTTGCACATATACCTGATGAAGAAATACGCATGGGGGAAATCGGTCTCTTTCTCCTCCGCAATACCCGCCTCCGACCCGCTCATCTGTTCATCGGCGTCCTCATCCATCCCTTCACCATCGCCATCGTCGTCTTCGCCACTCTCATTGTGCTCATTCTCCTCATCGGACCAATTGGCCTCGACCTTGCAGCGATCGCAGTCGCAGGCGAACCCATAGTCTTCCATCAACCTTCTCTGCCTATTCGCATAATTCAAGTTGACCGGAAAATAACTCAAGCAGATCTCTCTCCCTTGAGGAACATCATGGATCATCCGCACGATTATATCAGCATTGCCATCGGAAGCAGAGTCCACGTAGTCAAATCTACAAGCATTTGGCAGGCAGTCGTGGTTGAAGAACGAAGCTCTAGGATAAATACCGTAAGCTCTCACCGATCTCTCCCCATCCACTTCGCCGCCGCCGCCGTCCTGCGACGAAACCGGCTCCATCAAACCGAAAGCATTGAGCTTGTCCCTCGACAGCAACGCGACGATCATCTCAACAGAAAACCCCCGAGGAAAAGGCGAAGCCGGCGGAGGGGGAGGGCAAACCGAGGCGAGCAGCGGATGCAGGAACAGCGCGGCCGAGACGGTGTCGCCGCCGCCGCCGCTGCCGCCGGCGAGGGCCTCTCGGCCCCGGAGAGAGAGCAACAGCTGGAAATCGGAAGGGGAGACGGCGGCGAGATTGAAAGCGGCGATCAGGAACCGAGCCTGGACGTGGCGCTCGAGGGGCTGGCCGTCGAGCAGGGGGCAAGCGACCAGGCGGGACAGCGCGAGACAGGCCCAGGGGGTGTGCGACGTCGCGGCGGCGGCGGAGAGGCAGCCGGGGCCGCAGAACGCGTGGCGACCGCACGAGGGGCACGGGACGGCGCGCGACGTGGAGGGCTGAGGCAAGATTTTGAAGCAACCGTCGCAGTAGCGAGGAGTCGAAGAAGAAGAAGGAGGAGGAGGAGGCGGTTGTTTGGTGAAGGGAAGGGCGGAGTAGAGGAGGATCGGAGAGTCCCGGAGGACGATTTCGCCGCCGCGCAGCGGCCGGGCCGCCACCAGCGCCCGCCCCCGGCCGCCGATCTCGGCGAGGCTCAGGAGCGGAGCCGCTTCGTCCGCCATTGACAGAGCTTCGAGCAAGTTTAGGGTTTCTGATGGGCCAAGTGCCCGCCAAAATGCGTGTCTTTTTTGCCTTCGCCAGTTCAGGAAAAATGGGAAATCACAAAAGTGACCCCTCGCGGGCCTCGCTATTATGATTTAAATTAACCTGAGGGGCCAAAAAGAAATTATTTTAGATTCATTTCGATTTGAAACAAATTGGTTATCATCAAAAGAGGGGAAAATTCCAAAATTTGGTCCGAAGTGGGGTCATTTTCTCAAATAAAAGCTTGAAGTTGACATTGTCTTAAAAAAGGGCATGAAGTAGCTAAATTATCTCAAATAAGGACATTTGGGTAGCCAGTGACTATTCCGTCGTCGGATAAGTGGTATTTTAGTCAAAAAAAAATTATGAGTATATATTTTTTTGTGTTTTTTTTAACTTTCTTTTTCTTTTTCTCTTTTCTTTTTCCTTTTTTATTCTTCCCTCCCAACCATCACTGCGAGGTCGTCGGCCTCAGGCAAGGGTCGCCCTTGCCGGCGTCGGGCAAGAGTCGCCCTCGACGGCGTTTAATGAGAGTTGTCTTGCCTAGGTTGGGCGGTCGAGGGCGACCCTCCCCAGATCTAGCGAGGGTCGCCTCGCCTGGGCTAGCCTCGCCTTTGCCCGGGCTGGCCTCGCCTTCGCCTGACACCGGCGAGGGCGGCCTCCACCGGCCCTGGCGATAGCTAGCGGAGGGAAGAGAGGAAAAAAAAAAAGAAAAAGGAAAAGGAAAAGGAAAAGAAAAAAATAGAAAAGGGAAAAAAGAAAGAAAAAAATTTAAAAAAAATTAAAAGACGAAAATACCATTTGGCCAGTGAAGTCAGGTCTTTATTTGAGACTAATATGGCCACTTCAGGCTCTTATTTGAGAAAATGAGGGCACTTTCATGCCCTTATTTGAAATTTTGCCTCAAAAGAGAGATTATTGAATGGATTTCATCGATCTATTGTAAGTTTCCGTTAAATTTTACTGTTAAATTGCTAAGTTAGATGACACGTAATAGTTGACGGGTGTATCAGTTTGGAATTTTACCCCTCCATTTGTCACAGATTTATCAATTTGTAATTTTTCGTGGTATTAATCTAATTTTATGGAGGGTAAATTTGTCGCAAGTGTACCAGTTTAGGATTTTTGGTGATCAAAAAATTAGTTTAGGATAAAATTGTCACAGGTATACCAGTTTGGAGTTTTTGGTGATCAAAAAATTAATTTGGGATAAATCTATTGTAGATGTATTGATTTGGGATTTTTCGTGTTATTAACTCTAAAGTTTATAAAATAAAGTCCCCCTTCTCTATGAAATGCTCTGACATCTCTTAATATGAAATACTGAACGTTTGAAAGATTTCGTTAACGAGGCACTAGTTAAATAACACATTGCGGAAACATTTACAATTCGCAGTGTACAAATTGCGCTCTTGTTATGTTCAATCAGTAACTTACTAAGTTGGTCAGGACGTCCCGGTGCTCATGGCCTTGGGTGATTGATATCGAAAACGAATGGAGAAGCGCGGATCGAGATTACTCGAGACAGGGAGGCCAGGAACGAAACACGCGCACCTCACCCTTGTCAAAGGCGGGCGGGCGGGCAAGATTCGGTGAGTTAATCGCCGTACCGAAGCTCCACGGAGCCTATCCACTCACGACCTGAATCGAACTCGACCGACCTCTCGTTTTTTTTTTTTTTCTTTTCTTTTGGAGGGAGGGGAGGGTTTGGGCTTGGGACTCGTGTCAAACTTGGATTCTATGGAGTCTTCTCTCGCGTCGTTACATCCTCGTACCAACCCACCCTGCTTCACAAGCCGGTCCAGCTCGCGCGCGCGCGCCTTAACCGTGGTTAGTTGAACCAGGGTTAGGGTTTCCGCTATAAAGAAAAAACACGCCAGCTTCGTTTCTTCGTCCCATTATTATAATCAGAACGCTCGAGCAAACATTCCCCCATCGTCATTCCTCCTCCTCGTGCCATCATCGCCCCGCGACCTCTCGTCCTCACGCATCTCCCAGGTTATCATCTCCTCTTCCATACCATCGCCGTCGTTTTTCTTTCCCGTGCTGTTGATTCTCTGCATTCTTGGGATTGATCTTGTTGTTTCCCAGTTCTTGGTCGTGCGATTCCTGGAGTTCGTGTTCTTGTTTTGTTTTTTTATGTTGATTAGGGTGGCGGTGAGCCCGGTTTTTGTTGGTTCGACGATTTTCGGGATTGCATATCTTGTTGTCTGTCTGGGTTTTTGTTTGGTTTTTGGTTCATGGTCAATTGGGGGTCATTGGTGTTCTGTGTGGATGGTAGATATTTTTATGCCTGATGATGACGACAGTTTTTTTCCCATGATGAAAAAAGCTGGTCTTTTGCCTGATCGACTCTTTTTCCCGTGGCGGAGATCTGTGGATTTGGCACGACCTGCCGAGAAAGATGGGGAAATACTCGTGTGTTTTGAGTCTGTTGTGTTGTGGTTATGATGCTTCTTTCGTTTTGTCGTCGGTATTCGAGTGGTCGGTTGTTTAGAATATGTTGTTCTTTCAACTGAATTGTCATGGAATAGTGTGCTTGTTGAGCCTTTGGGTGCCTTTTTTCTTCACGGCGTGTTTATGGGTGTTAATTGATTGATCGGAAGATGGTTATGATCATTCGGTCGTCTCGATTGGAGGGGTTGATGGATTGGGAGATGTCTGTTGTAGGTTCAGAGTCTTCACTGAATGCGTCGATCGATTAAAAGTTGTTGGTTTTTACTGAATGATTGTGCTGGTTGTAGTGATGTGGTGCTTGGTTTTATGGAGTCGATGGATTGTTATTTTCAGGTCGCTTGGCTGCTTTTGCTGTGAGCTTTTAAACGTAGAGATGGCTGATGGTCATGAGACTGACAAGAACATCGAGATATGGAAGATCAAGAAATTGATTAAGGCTTTGGAAGCTGCAAGAGGCAATGGCACAAGCATGATTTCTCTGATCATGCCTCCTCGTGATCAAATCTCTCGAGTTACCAAAATGCTCGGCGATGAGTTTGGTACTGCGTCAAACATCAAGAGCAGGGTGAATCGACAATCTGTGCTCGGCGCGATCACGTCAGCTCAGCAGAGGCTCAAGCTTTACAACAAAGTTCCTTCTAATGGGCTTGTGCTGTACACTGGCACAATTGTCACTGACGATGGAAAGGAGAAGAAGGTGACCATTGATTTTGAGCCTTTCAGGGCCATCAATGCATCTCTGTACCTGTGTGACAACAAGTTCCATACTGAAGCTCTGAATGAACTCTTAGAATCCGATGATAAGTTTGGTTTCATTGTTATGGATGGTAATGGGACTCTCTTTGGGACTCTGAGTGGTAATACGAGGGAGGTGCTTCACAAATTCAGTGTGGACCTGCCGAAGAAGCATGGAAGAGGTGGGCAGTCAGCTCTTCGTTTTGCTCGTCTTCGAATGGAGAAGCGCCACAACTATGTGAGGAAGACGGCTGAGCTAGCAACGCAGTTTTTCATTAATCCATCAAGTAGCCAGCCCAATGTTTCAGGACTTATACTGGCTGGATCAGCAGACTTCAAAACTGAGTTGAGTCAATCTGACATGTTCGATCCTCGTCTTCAGGCCAAGATACTGAATGTGGTCGATGTTTCTTACGGTGGTGAGAATGGTTTCAACCAGGCCATCGAGTTGTCTTCAGAGATATTGGCCAACGTGAAGTTCATTCAAGAAAAGCGCTTGATTGGTAAATACTTTGAGGAGATAAGCCAGGATACTGGAAAATATGTTTTCGGTGTGGATGACACGCTGAAAGTTCTGGAGATGGGTGCTGTTGAAATTCTCATTGTGTGGGAGAACCTCGATGTCAATAGGTTCACACTGAAAAACAGCACTACTGGTGAGATTATCATCAAGCACTTGAACAAAGAGCAGGAGCTTGACCAGAACAACTTCAGGGATACTGCCAACGCAGCTGAGCTCGAGGTTCAGGAGAAAATGTCGCTCTTGGAGTGGTTTGCTAACGAATATAAGCGATTTGGTTGCACGCTTGAATTTGTCACGAACAAGTCGCAAGAGGGATCCCAGTTCTGTAGAGGTTTTGGTGGGATTGGGGGGATCCTCCGTTACCAGCTTGATATCCGATCGTTTGATGAGCTCTCTGATGATGGTGAATTTTATGATGACTCTGAATAGCAATCAATAAACTCTCCCCCACGGCTGGTGCAGGAGGATGGGCCGAAATGCCTGCACCAGTGCGCGAGCTCTCGCGCTATATGCTACTGCTTGGGCGCTGCACGAAAGAAGATTTATGCGAACCCTAGCCAAGGTTCCCTGTCCCTTCCCTAGATTTTTTATTGGACCTCCCTTTTGCTCTGTTTGTGGATCCTTTGCCTTTACTTTCTTTTCAGGTGTTTTTTATTCTAGGTAGTTCCTGTGTAATGGCTGCTAACGATATGTTTTTGTTCTAGGTGGGGGCATATTGCTCGGAGAGTGCGTGGAAATTGCAATATATCAAATCTGCTGCCTTCTATCGGAAGGAGAAGCATACACTCTATTGGATTAAGCTTAAGTCTGGACTGTAAGGGAGTACCTTTGCCGATTCGGATGCTGCTGCCTGGGTGGACCTTATATGGTCTGTTTATTTCTCTACTTCTGTTTCTCTATGACCTATTAGCTTTTCTATCAACCCAGTATGAACTTAAAGAGTGGTCCCACTCATTAAAATATCTAGTTGTTGCTACTGTGGTGGTGTTCTGGTCTTACGTGACCATATGTGATGGATTTTCATGTTATGCAGCCACTATCATTAGAGTGGTGGATTTTCATGTCACGTTGCTACTATTACGAGTTTGTTTGCGTTTGGGTTGAATATATTGTATTGGTATATATGCTTGATAATCTAATTGTGCGCTTTGCATTGATTGTTTTTGTTGTAGATAGATACCATCTAGACATGAACGATCGGTTCCGTAAGTATGATTGATGGGCAAATAGCATCAGCTATAGGCGATGGCATTTTGCTTTATTGAGGTTTTGAATGCACATCTATCAATGTTCTTCCTAAGGTGAGGAGTCATAGGTGGTACTATGACCTTGACTTGCAAATCTCACATTTTTGGGATAGCAAGCTTATTGTCCGGAGTACAAGGGCACGACAGGAACATTGGACAGACTTGATATCTGGCGATCCATATGTGGTGCTCTAGATTCTCATTTTAGTGGTCTACATACAATTCAGTGACTTGTGGGCCTGTGGCACGAAGCACATCGAGTCATGAGTAGGTTCTTTAGATACTAATACGTCTAATTGTTGAAGCCTTCAATGGATGTGTCTGATTAACCATATAATCTCGCTAGAAATACTTATCAATCAAACGTGCGGTCAAACTTTTTGCGGTTCTGATGATCCTAGATAAGACTATATTGTAGTCCTCGACAAGTGACATTTAATGTCGCTGAATGTCATGATATTGGTGTGATTAGGAGAAGCCGAAGCAATAGGTATACTGAGTACATTTTTCTTGATCTAAAACCTAGCAACAGATTACACCCAAGCTCTGGCGGCATGAAATGGTGAGACAGATTTTTGTTCAGTCGAAAAAGAAAATCTGTCTCACCATTTCCTGATTGGCAACGATGTATTACAATGTCTCTAGTTCATCTCTTTACTGATTGTTCTATGCCTTTTTGAAAACCTAAGAATCAACAGTAACCTGCGTTATTCTGTGTTACTTTGGTGCTCACCGGGAAGAGCAATATCGCTCTGCTATCCCTTCAAATCTGAAAGATGCGTTAGTCCCTGCAGTTGCTTCTGATATCTGGTTCTGGTGCAACCACCGGAGCTCATCCTTCACATCGCCAGGCGCGAAACAAGACGAAGTTGAATCCTTGTTTGAGTGCTTGCTTCAATGCTTTCGCTGATTCCCCTTCGCCCTTGCGAACCGCGTCATCCATCTTCCTAACTGGAATAGCACCACCTTGCCAGTGACCTGTAAAGTCAGCCCGGAAGCTATCAACACTCCTCCCACCACCAACCATTTCCAGGGATTCACGTCTTTTCTCCGTGTATCCTTCAATTTCTCGTCCTTGTGAACTTCCACATTAGGAGCTGGAAACGTCAACGGCCCGCATTCGGTGGTTATGCACGCGAGGACTGCGTAAGATGATCGAGGTGCGCTGCTGGCTCGAGCGAGATTGTAAGCCTGAGCTGCGGCAGCCATTTTCTTCACGAGGCCCCACATTCCCGCCCTGGCACACATCTTGACTATCTCCTTTGGTACACCAATGTCCTCGTAGTGGAAGAAGATTACCTCTGATGCGGGGTGCTGCTGCCGGTTCCCTGATTCTACTGGAAGAAGTATAGACATTCTCAACATCAAAACCTCCCCATGTGTGATCTATGAGAGAATATCAGTGGTTAGCGAATGAGGAAAGAAGTACCTGGATTTATGCACCAACTAGAATAATAGAGCTCTACTCTTCGGGTATTTCTGCGATTCGGTAGAGATGGATATGTTATTCCCTGTATTGATAAAAGCTCGCTTTTAATCTCCAGACGAACTTCATCGATGGTAAAGATTCGCCAGATGTTATGCACAATACTTGGTTCGCCATCCGAAAGTACCTAGAATGACCTTCTTGCCTATATTTTATAGGCGAAAGTTACGACTACATTGCATCTGGACAGCTCGATAATTCTCGCTACCAAAGGTAGCTCTCGGGAAATCATTCTAGAACTTGTCCAGTGACACTCCCTTGACATGAGAGACAAATAAGAAAATGCTGAAGTGAAGCTACACTGAATCAGTGGAGATATCAAGCGAGCCTTTTACCTTTGTCACGCAGTAGTAGCTGGATTCAGACTGCCAAATGCGACGAATGATGACGTACTCTCGCTCGGTTCGGATCAGTGGTAACTACACACACAAATCTGAACGTTAGCTCCTACAGGGAAATAGTTCCATTTACTGGTACAATGATTCAGTACCTTTCTTATCCAGTGAACAACCATGGTTCCAGTTCGCGGGCAGACATGTAAAGTCCTGCAGTAGACTAGCATCTTATCCCACTTGAGACGGAATTCGTCATCCCAAAAGAAGTCCCTCAGTAACTCGGGCGAGATGTCCATGAAAACCGTTCTCGTGCGATACTGTGTTGGGCCAACCTGAAACATGAGCAATAACAATTTGGACAATGAAGGAGACCATCAGGAGTGGCAGTGCGAGACTATCAACCAGAACCCCTCGTTAAAAAAAAAATGGGGGTAGAAGTGGAACGGCTTCACGAAAACCTTCCTAATTTCTCAGTTTTCGATCTGCATGAAAGAGAGATCTAGGTGCTACAGACAATTTTCCCAGAGACTATGCATCCGAGGTTGCAAATGCAATTGCTATTGACAGTTTCCCAGTACTGAAATACATCGAAGGTCGAAGAAATCTACATGAACATGTAATTTTTCCCAAGAATTTAAGGCAAGGTAGGGCAGTCGGTTCGAAGATGGTCGTTTGACACGGTACATTGAAAGGATGAGCATCAATGTAAGCTGATCAGATTATTAGACAAGAAAATGATGAACCTTACCTGTGGGTCTCTGCACCAAGCTTTGTATGTCAGGGTTGGAGTTGGTCTCTCCATCATCAGCTGCCATGGCGGACCGCCATCAGACTCCATTATGTGAGACATCAGTTCCTTTAGCTCAGTTTCGCCTAAGGCTGCATCTGCACCATTACTTCCTTGAATCAGATACCGTCAGGATAGAGCTATACAGTCACAGTAGAAGGGAAAAGCTGTGACCAGGACCGACAAATATCGCAGGGACATTACAATGAGGGATGAGAAAAACTGTGCTCCCTATTTCCAATGACTGCGAAAATTCTCGCAGTTCCTTCTATCAAATTGAGTGGAATACCTACTTGGCACACGGTCGGATGTGGCATTATCGAGCATCTCTGGATGGTTTTCAACACTGTCGGGGGCGGACGACGTGCGGCTGTTGTCAGTAGAGTGGCAGAAAATTCTGTTCAGGACCAAACATAGCTGACGAGGAGTGAAGGCAATCCCGACCCACAGAAGCCTCCCGCCGAAGACGTGCGGGAAGCGAATTCTCCGCGGCCTCCACATCCAAAGATAAGAGCAAAGGTTATAATTTCTAAAGCAAATCAATCCGACGAGAACAAACACGAACGCCACTGCTAGATTTCGTCCCGAAAACACAGAAGATAAAGCAGGAACATCTTCCAGAGCGATCTTGCCAAACAAATCATTCGCCATCTTCTCCAAACTTTTCTAGCCTACTGTAATATTATCTGTCACTTGGGTTTACATTTTCCTGTGTCAAAGCAAAACGCTCCTTGTTGATGTCTCGGGAAGGAAGAAAGGAATGTCCTCGTCCCCACTCTTCTTTCTTTATTTTCGATATCCGACATTTTCCAAGGCGACAGGTTCCCACTTGTGCCTTTGTTTATTGAGAAGACCTTGTAGATGACATTGTAAACAACGATTCCCTTGTTTGATTCGCGGCAATTTTGAGGGACAACGTCCGACCGTAGTTGTTCCATCTTGGACGGGAAACACGATGTGGGTTTCCGACCGTAGTTGTTCCATCTTGGACGGGAAACACGATGAGGGGAAACACGATGTGGGTTTCTCGATCAGTTTTATCGCTCCACGTTAATCATACAACGTTCCTCGATTTCCAGGATTCGAACTCCACGAACATTCCGAGCTGCCTAGAAAGGTTACCCTTGGTAATGACAAAAAGCAGAAGCAAGCCGCACGGTTTTATCAATATGTGATTAAGTTGACATAGTATAAAAGATCTTAAATTGTTATCTCTCGCCCAACTGCCATTCACTCTACAATAATAGATTTCACTCCGTTCCACTCATAAGTAGTAAAGCTATAGCTATTTGCCAACTCTTACAAGCAACTGATCTGGTCAGTGACATTTATCGGTCAGGATCCACGCGAAGCCAATTAAGCAAATTGGCAATTCTGCTGGCACCTATTTATCTTCACAACCCGAAGATCGCATTGCCATTGTTGTCTCCTCATTTTCCTAAATTAGAACAAACGAATAGAACTAAGGAGGCGTCGGTGTCGGGACTAACTTTGTACAACAAAGAGAGAAATGCGATCGAGAGTATTAGGTCCAATCAGTAAGACATAAAATTTGAGAGAGTGCGAGATCAACTACTGATCAAACAAAAGACGCTCTCTTCCTTTCCATGAGAATGATACTTCTCCGCGAACAATTATCATGCACGAATAAATATTCATCTAAAATTCCTTAATCTACCAGAAAATGGCTCTATAGAGGTGAATATCTAGTAGAGGACAGGGAGGATTCATCCTACTGGCAAACTATGAGAGATATAAAAGTACAAATTAGATTCAGGTCTAACCAACAGATGAAAAGGGAAAACATGTTCACCCCTGGCATAATTATACATGCACAACATCCAGTACTCTCCCTTAATACTGGCTCTTTCCATCCCAAGGCTGATGACCAAGAACTGTCCGACAAACCAACTGCTTGGAACCTCTTATTCCTGAAAGAGAATGAAATAAAGACGTACTTAGTGATTGCGCTGCTCCAAGACACCCCAAACAAAAGAGTATGACTCTGAGATCGAACCAAAATACTTGCAAGAACAAGCAGAGAGAATTGCAACAAAGAGGATTCGAACCCATCACCTAAATAGTGAATGAACAAAATGTCTCAACAAGGGCAGTGCTAATGCTGCTTATGCTTTACTGGGGGCAATCGACCCTCTGAAGCATCGCCACCAATGAGTTATACATTCAACGTTGGATTGTTGAAATGTCGAAGAATTCGATCAAAATTAACTCCAAAAACTCGTGTCATTCATCCAAATATAATTTGTGGAAAGATTTTTCTTTTTATTGTCAAGTACATTTGTTGAACTCCCTATTTTGAGCAAATATTTGAACTAATGATTGTCAGGTTTAATTAATTGTTTCAGACTACAGGTGGTTCAAGCCTAATTGTCTCGCTGGTATTCTGTATTTTAGATACTTTTACGTAACTATATACTTAACAGGTTTTAGCTTTTACATTCCTCGTGTTTTAGAAACTCTGAGAGGGACCAAATACTTATTTGAATGACAAAGTGAACATCTTCAGTATTTTAGATCCTCGAGTTCGACTTTGAGATCAACTCAAGCACAAAACTTGTGTAGCTTTTCATCATTGACTCAAAATTTAGTTGGGAATCGACTTCTTATTCCATGAAAGTAAGTTTAAATACAAAATCATGGACTTGACTTAGCTTGATGAACTATTGTTATGCCTACTATTATGCACCCAGTCATTAGATGCTCCAGTTTAGCAAATGGGCCTCAATAACTAGTTCATTTCAATATATATGATTTCAGTACTAGTATTAGAAATTCAAAATTTGATGGGAAGAAAATGACTAAACTTGAGAAAGTCATAATAAATGCTGAAAATTTTTAATTTTGCCAAGAGCTGTAGCACGGGAAAGAGCAGAAGAGAGCAACAGGAATTTCATATACAGGCATCTATTCACGTATAAATACATTTGAATAGTACCTGTTCCATGGGCGCAGGTTCATCGTTTGTTTGCTCCTCTACATTCTTCTGTTCAACATCTGCTTCATCTTGATTAGTAGAACTCATTTCTTCATCTCTTTCTTTGACACTACCAGCCCCAGTAACGACCTCTGGTATTTTCAGATCCACTGGAAGCTGACCCGACTTCAGAGCCTGCTTATTCCAATAATACGCGCCGCATTATATTAGACACAAAACAAAGGGACACATAATGGAAAAGTGCACATATTTAATAAAGGAAAATCTAAGTACCTTTTCAAGTCTGGCAACCTCTTCAAGAGTCTGTGAATTCACTATGGCCGCCTGCAAGTACAAACATAAATCAAACTATGGACGATCCCCAGCTTAATAAAAGAAGAAGATGGTTCTCTTTTGCAGAAGCCATTTTGGTTGAACAAATTAATTATCTAACATGAATGCATTAGCACAGTATAGTTGTATTTAGCATTCAACATAGTAGCAAATGGACAATCATGGGCTCTTCTGAACATATGATCAAGAGAAGCAGCTCTATTACTTAAAACAGCAGGGGGTTCTCTAGAAAGAGTTCTAACTCTTTCCTTTAAGTTTGAACTCTCCGTAACAACGCAACTAAGATTGCTCAGAAGGAAGCAGGTAGTATATCTTTTGTATAGATTTCCCTTTTCCTAATTGGGTCCTGAAGCTATCAACTCTTAATAGGCCTCTCCAGTGCAATTTCCTCCCTTTTCTTTTTGGGTAGTGGAAGTCAGAGGAAGTTCATGGGCCTCACTTTCACTTTTTGAAGAATGGATAATCAATTAATAGAATTCATAATGGTTAAACGTGGAAAAAAATTCTAATCGAAATACTTAAAGTTTGTAAGTTGTAGTTGTCAGTTACGTTAATCAGGACGCATCAATTTGTCAATAAAGAAATTTACTTCGTCCCCAAAGAGAGATTGAAATATGCACTAGAAAGATGAATCAGAAAACAGTAGGCAAGCTCAGGGAACAATTTATAGCTCAAGGACCAGCGCTAGTACTAAAACTCGTCCTTCCAAGTTTCTGATTTACTAGTCAGGAAAGTGCTAATCACCAATGCAAAAGAAGAAGAAAACAAATCTAACTGAAAGATAACAAATCAAAGCAGATCTAACCCTAGATCCAGTTTTTTCAAAGAGGTACTCAATAAACAATTTCAAAGCACAAAACCAATTAAAGCACTCAACACAATTGAGACATCTATCACTCATCTTAAAAGGAAAAGAAAAGATTGCACAAACCCTGCAAGTTCATTGCGAAGCAAAGGCAATACCTTTATAGCAATAATTTGCTCCGGTGTAGGGGCAACAACTTTGGGAGCCTGCGGTTCTTCAATGGGTTCCAAAACCTTTTGAACCTCTCCTGGTGAAAACGTCTTTGTCGATTCCTTTTTAGCTTCCTCTTCAACTTCTTTAGATGAAAATAGCTGTTCTGCTTCTAATCTCTCCTATCATCCAGGAAAATTAATAATAAATCTAATTTTTTTCTTTTTGAAACTAGAAATACAACAAGACTTGACCACCAAAATGAGTAGAAGTAAAATATGAAACCAATTATTTGGAGCAAAGAGCTATTCAAACCCTGGAAAAGGACAGATCAATGCAGTTGAATAGAAATGCAATAATGAAGGGTCTGTTTGTTTACACTGAAGCAAAAGTGAAATGTACTCTTCTGCTTTCATGAATCTAAAATATTCTGCAAACTCCAGAAAATTATGGTAAAGTTATATGTGAGTCTTCGTGTCAACATTTGGGTGTCCTGAAAATTTCAGAAGTTTTGGATTTAGAAAAAGTGCCTTTGGTGCAAGATTTAGATTAAGCAAAAAACAACTGGTAAAAATCAAACCAAACAGGCTCTAAGGCTTCTGAGGTAATTCAAAAAACTAAAATATTTAAAATCTAAAAGTAGACTATGAAACCATTGCTTTTGGAGCAGAGAGTTAGTCGAACTCAAGAAAACGATAGATAAACCCAGAAGAAGACAAGGATAATGTATTTTATGGATGTTGTATTGGACCAATGAACAATACCAACCAAAGAAAAGCTAAAAGTTTCTCTCTGCTATGTATAGACTCAAAATGCTTTTAAAGTAAACAAAAGTTCAGCACAATAATTTCCAGTGAACGACCTAAACAAGGCACTGGCAATTGGGCAAGAAAGGCAGGAGGACCATTTTGCACTGACGTCTTGAGTGAAAGAGGACACAAGATAAGTTAATCAGCAATTAGATAAAAATAGATTATTTTTTTCTGATCTTAAACTATAATGCAGAACATTATTAACAAATTGTGTTTTAGATTCTTTCTAAAACTAGAAATACAGTAAGTAAGACTCAAGACTCTACTTAATAGAACCATTACTTTGGGCTATCAAAGCACAATTAATTGAGCAGAATGTTTTGGTCAAAAAAATTGAGCACAGAGGCATTCAAACCGGAAAAGGACAGGTAAACATGGAGAGGAAAAAAAATTTATTTAATGGATGTGCTGTTGACAGAATGAATAACAAAAACCCACCGAAACACGGATAAAATTTCTCCCTGCTCTGTATAGACAGAAAATGATATTGAAGTAAATATATATTCACCACAATGGTTCCCTACAACAACCTAAACAAGGAACTCTAGCACTTGGGTCCTAAACAATTAGGAGTGTAGAAGGATTGTTTTGTATTGATGCTATGTGTGAAAGAGGATGCCAAATCAGTTTAATTAATGATTATGCCATGAACATGGGAGCTTTGGCCTCTTTTAGGGCTTCTTTTGCATCCTTCCAGTGAATTTGAGCATTAAAGATGTTTGATCTGGACCCTGCTTTTTTTTATTCTCTATCAGAGGAGTTCTTTCCCTTTTGTTTTTTTGCAGTACTTGTCCAACTAGAATGACTGCCTGCATATAAGATTTCAACATGTAGATTTAACCTTAATCACAGATGAACAGACCACTTAGTGAACTCTATTTGAAGGATTCCATAGTACCTGTACCCCATTAACTACCAAGAAAACATACAAATAATAAGGTTTACCTTGGAATATGATCTTTTTCTAAAAGAAATTATTTTTCCAGGAAACATGAAATGAAGCCTATTGGATAATTTAAAGTCACCCCAAAGTCCATCCAAACAGCTTGCTAAATCTATGTAAGACAAGAATGACTGAGGATAGAAGCATCGTCAGATAATGCTTCTTTGCTCTAGCAGGTAAAGCAATCAGTCTATAACTACTATGCACTTCCAAACATGAAGAGAAAGGGCATGCCTGGAAAGAACACAAATTGCAAATGGTCAACAAACCTTGCTTTTTACTTTCCTGAAATCCAGCACCCGAAGCGATTTTAGTTTGTGAATCACATACAACCTATAATTGGGTTTCTTTGTGACATTATTATCCAACAAACTAAGATATTGGAGCCTTGGAAGAGATGTAAGAGGATCAATCTCAACCAAGTTGACCAATCTGTTGTTTGTAAGAACCAGCGTGTGCAACTTCGGTAAGAACTCTGCCAAGGAAAAGAACAGGTAGTGTTAACTTTTGGCTAAACAAGAGAGATGTAAGACAGTCGTCTGATTGCCATTATTACCTCCAATATTAGGGTTGATGCGAGTAATTCTATTGTTATTTATAAGCAAAGTACCCAGCCGGTTAAGGTATGGAAAGTTTTCCAGCTTAACGATCTCATTGTCGGACAAATCAATAGTGTCAAATTGGTCCTGCACCAAATAAAAGCATGAAACTGCATTGCATAGGACGAGCAAGATATGCCACATACATTATTCGATTATGTGCATCAACATCTTAGTAATATAAAACTAAGAGAGAAACCATGTAATGACAAATAGCAAACAGTGAAAACTAATGGCTTTGTTTTACTGTACCACACCCAGAGAGAGAGAGAGAGAGAGAGATGACAAGAATTCTGTTGTATGGACTAGAGAAAATTCACATCCGTTTGATGGAGAGAGAAATGCTCTAGGAACCAAAAATGTTACAAAAGAAAATCATAGCTGGAAACTACATGAGTAGGCAGGTTCTGAACAACGATTGACCAGATAATAAGCAGTATACCATCAAAGGTGTCTCTCCACTAGACGAAACAAACAACACATAAGATCCATCAAACAACAGTCAATGAGATGCTCCGAGTGTCAAAAGAGTATCACTACCTATGCACCAGATTGTAATCAAGGTGTGCATCTTGCAATTGCTGAGTTTAAATAAGACACCAGAAGGAGAAACTACTAGGCACTCCCAGCCTACGTTAGCCCATTTCACATGAGCCGTTATATCATGCGGATCCCACGTGCTCCCGGCCCTATCTTAGCCCATTCACACATCAAGCAAAATGGGCTAACATAAGCCGGGAGTACCCAAGAAAAGAGCTCTACCAGATCCTTTTCCTGAGCATTACGTGAATACTTCACCAAGAACTCCACTCAAGAAACACTAAAAATTCCCCCAATATCTCGGGCTTGCAACTCACATCAGCAAAAAACATCGAAACCCCAACTACCCCCAACCAGATACGCATAAAAAAAACTCCTTTTTGCAGCACAAAATGATGCCAGCCTCTTCACTGCGTTCAACCATTTCTAACGAGACTCACAAAAAAACCGGGCTACCAACCAGGGGCAATTCACGCAACTTCTCAGCACCCAAAAGAAAAAACCCTAATTACAAGAAAAGCACGAACGAACCTCAGTGGCCCCCAAGTTCTCGATCACCGCAATCTTGTTACCTAATCACACAAAAACCACGAACGAAACCACGGTCACTGGAACCATCAAACACTTCCCAAACTCACGAAGGCCACCGGGGAAGGAGGAGGGCATTTTGGGGGGTGGAAAAAACAAGCGTGCGGGAGTATACCTCGAAGGTCGAGCTCCCGCTCCTTGATGGCGTTGAAGAAGTGGGGGCTCTTCCAGATCAGGTCCGCGGTCAGCCTCACCATCCTTCGCTCTGCCCGGCGTGGCTTCCTCGAGCTCGACTTGCAGCAGCAGCAGCTACTTCTCCTCCTCCTCCTCCTCCTCCCCCCACGAATTCCTACTGCCGCGAAGAAGAAAGGAGGAAGTGAAGGCGCTCGAAGAAGCTGAAGCTCGAAGCAGCAGCAGCAGCAGCAGCAACGGAGGGAGGGAACGAGAACGACCGGCACCGATTTGCTTCTTGTCGCTTTGGGTTTTTAACCTATAATTTGCGGCCCATGGGGTCTTCGTGGGCGGGCGGATCGGGCTTTCTCCGGGTCGGGTCGGGTCGGGTCCGGGCTTTTGGCATTTTTAAGCTGAACTTTCGACCCCGAGGAAAACCTTTAGCCCCAAATTATATGATAGTTTTAGTTTAGTTATATTATTGTATTTGAAATCATTGAGAATATATTAACAACAATAGCATAGCATCGTTACAATATAATCTAAATAAATCGATTTTCCATTTCGAATGATGATTCGAAATTAGAACTTTTGTTAACTAGAATTTTGTATATTTTTGGAATATTCGAATTTTCAATCCGAAGGGCGAGTAGAGCGCAAAATATAAACTGATATATGTCCGATTTTTAATATTAACTAATGTTCAGCTTTTTTATTACTATTTGTTTAGCGTTAGTTTCGCTAAAAGTACCGACTTTAGAATTGTAATAGAAAAGGGATTCTAAACATACGAAAGTTGTCGGTACGTTTTGTATTCGTTATATGTAATTTACATTTCTCTTGAGTTTAATTGGGTCGTGGTCGTCATGTTTTCAATATGGGTTGAGCACAGTCCCCTCTTATAAAATCACCAAAGAAAATTAAACTAGTTACTCAACAATCAACATGGGCTTGGCACGCAAACGTATATTGGTAAACGCATTTTAAATATACCTATTTTCTCTGAAATTGATTATCACGTAATCAAAGTTGATAATTGTAGGGTTTGAAATGTGGATATGGTTATTTTGATATGAGAAGCAAGTCGAAGATGATATTGCAATTTCCCTTCATATGGATGGCTCATCATAGTGAAAAAGTGGAACTAACATGTCAAAGAAAGATTAGTATTATGTCCATCGCCAGTGTAAAAAAAATACACCAAATTTTTTTGTAAGACGGGTGCCATAAATATTTATAATTAGTATTGTAACAGAATTCTTCCATATGCCAATCATCGTAAGTTGAGTGTGTAAGTTATTTTTTACACTAACAACATACCTAATAAATGAAAGGGTTAATACCACCAAAAAATTTCAAACTGGTATATATATGTGACAAATTTATCACAAACTAATTTTTTGACCACGAAAAACACCAAACTTGTACATCTATGACAAATTTACCCCAAACTGATTTTTTAACCATAAAAAATTTCAAACCGATACACTTGTGACAAATTTACCCTTCATTAGTTTTTATTAAATCTTACTGTCAAAAAACTGAATTTGATGACATGTGACAGTTAACGGGTATACCAATTTGGGGTTTTACCCCTCCGTTTATCACAGGTTTACCAATTTGTGATTTTTCGTGCAATTAATCCAATTTAACGGAGGGTAAATTTGTCACAAGTGTACCAATTTGGAGTTTTTGCCGATAAAAAAAATTAGCTTTGGGTAAATTTGCAATGGGTGTACCAGATTGGGGATTTTTGTGGTCAAAAAATTAGTTTGGGGTAAATTTGTACATCAGTTTGGGATTTTTTGTGGTATTAACCCTAAATGAAATGAAAACAAAAGGGGGAAAATTCCAATTAGCCCCCCAAAGTGGCCTCCTCCCAAAAAAAGACCCCCTGCACTTAACTTTGTTTCAAATGAAACCCTAACTCGACAATGTATATCAATTAGCCTCTAACGCCTGATGCCAGCAGAAAAAGAAGGCGGCCAAGGTGCACGCGCAGCTCCCATGGACGAATTCGGGGGCAATTTTGTCCAAAATCATTAACCTAAATATAGAGAGAGAAAGAGAAGGGAAAGAGAGAGAGGTAGAGGGGGAGGCTAGGCAGCAGTGCCGGCATCGGCCGAAGCTCCGACATTCCTCATTGAGTTCAAACAAACTCGCCCTGGCCGCAACCTCCGACACCTCAAATAACATGCGCTCATAAACTTATTCTGAGTGCTAGATCGAATGTCATAAATGGATATGGTCGTGCTCAAATCTTTATAACTAGAGCTAATGCAAGAGAAACAACTCATCCCTTTCCCGCAAGTGAAAAAACCGCTACAATCACAACGCGACCTCATAATTCAAGAACCGGGATTTACAGAATTCTGAGAAAAAAGAGCAGATAGAGCATTTGTGTTACCTAATGTAGCAGCGGCCGGGCGGATCCGTTCAACTAAGGGACGTCGGATCTTCATCGGTGCTCGAGCACCACCACCTTCCGTCCTCCCCTCCCTCCACTTTCTCTCTCTATCTCACCTCAGCCGGCCACTTTTTCCGGCCGGCGGCGAGCGTGGGGGGCAAATTGACGTATGCCGGACGTGCGCAGGGGTTCAATTGAGACAAAAACCAAAAACCACGGGTCATTTGCGAAAAGAATTCCAACTCGGGGGACTCAATTGAAAATTTCCTCGCAAGAGGGAGTAGGTAGGAAGCCGGTGCAAGCAAGCAACGGTGCCAACTGTCACCATGACTCCACTTACCCCCAGCTCGGTCTACCACCCCCCTCACAACCACCCTCATCTCCGTCGCGTCTCGCCGGAACCGATCGCCGCCGCCGCCGCCGCCGCCGCTCCAATGGCACTGCGGATCTCCTCTTCCGCTCTCCTCCCGAGGAGCTCGCCATCCCCGCCTCCCGGAGCCGACGGCGACTCCGCGAGGCCGGCCTCCGTCCTCGAGCTGAGGCCGCGTGGACCGGCCGGCCCCGGCCGCCTCCGCCTCCGCGGCTCCGTCCGCGCGGGCGGCAACACCAACTCCACGGACTGCAACGGCGGCGGCGGCGGCTGCGGCGGCGGCGGCGGCGGCAAGAAGAAAGGATCGGTGCCGAGCTCCAACTACGTGGTGCCGCTGGACAAGTCGGTGTCGGCGTCCTACTCGTCGTGCATAACCCGCCCTCTCGCCGAGATCCTCCGGGACCTCAACAAGAAGATCCCCGACAACATCATCAAGTCGCTCCCAAATGCTCCCGACAGCGATCCCGATCACGACCCCGACCAGGCCTCCAACTTCATCCCCTGGTAAGTTTTGTCCTTCGTCTAGCATCGAGTTGGTTCGCCATGTCGATGATGTGCTTATACATCTGATGATGCAACGTTTGATCTGGTCTGATTTCGTTTCCTTCGGATGTTTCTGGATTCTGTCTCTCAGGTACCATGCGAACCGGATGTTGAGCTTCTATGCCCCTGGTATCTACAGTTCCTCAGCGCGCTTTCCCTCACTCTCTGTGAAAATTGACGAGAATTTCTGCTTTTCTGTACTGTATGGGTGTTGCATGAGCCTGCATTGTGCGATTGATCACCTCTTTGCTTGTTAATTTGGGCTCTCTGGTTTCTGCTTGTGGTCTCTCATGTTCAATCCAACAGAAACGTTGATGCTTCATTACAAACCCTTGGGTCGTTGAAAAATTGCTTCTTGCTTCCTGATTTATGATCATAAGCTGTGCCCATGATCCCATCCTCTGCGTTGAAGCTCTTGCATTTTGATCAATGCGAATCAGCCACATCGCATCCTAAACTTTACTTGCGAAATCCTTTAGTTGTTAGTCCATGAACTATATTATTAGTTTCTTCGCTGTTAAGACTTCAAAGGGGCCTTGCCAGTAATTTTATGGTCAGTACAGTTTAGCACTTTCAAATCATCTAAGAAACATTTGATCTCATCGATGGAAGTATTCGGTACCATTTGAACAGTTATTCAGCAAGCATGTTCACTAATCAGCTAGGAACCATCAGTAGACTTTATTTGGATGTGCACGAGGTCTACGTCTGAATTAATCTCTCATTGCATGGTTCTACAGCACTGCATCTCACTCCTTGTTGACTATTCTCTTGATTTTCTTTTGGCCACTAGCTATTCTCTTGATTTGATGCCTGCATGTAACGGAAACATGAGTTTCTGTGCGTCTCTTCCGATACTCACTACTTGTTTCCACAGGATGGTGTGGAGAAATACGTGATGTTATATTCTCGGACAATGGAAGTGTAACGGTGGTGTATCGGGTCACAGTGCGAGGATCGGATGGAGAGGTGGGGCTCTTTCTTTACAATATGCACACATGTGACTTGCATATCCTGCCATTTGTCTGTTGTGCAAGTTTGCAGCATAAATATGCTGTTCCCTCAATTAATATGGGTTTCCATACTCTTGTTCATTTCCAGTCATGAATATTACTAGCGTAATCTAAGAAAAATCAAATTGCAGTATAATTGGATTTAGCAAGACCTTCTTGTGTTTGGATTACTTAACCTTTGACCTGATATCACTGCCTACTGAGTTTTAGGATTGGTTTATAATGAAATGTGGATGTAGTGAATGCTTGAGCAACTTCAACTACCGTGTCTCATAAATAGTAGAAATCAATGTGTCTAATAGAGAGAAGAAGTGCTTGACAAATATATTGTGGTTCTCTGGTTATATTAGCCCTTTCATGACTGATTTGTATATGTTTTACTGGAGGTATATGTGATAAATACCACATATGGAGGCATTCGGTATATCAGAAAATCTGATCATTACATCGTGCTTATCAGTGGTTCATAATTGGCATAAGGTAGAGACTAAGGAGAAAAATTTTGGACGAATTGTTATGAACAGTAGGTATAATGCAAACTGTGGAAGGGAGTGGAACGGAAAGAGGAAATTTAGCAGCTTTTTTGTGGTTACTGTGATTATGGCAGTGAACATCAAAGATGGGAGAGAAGAACTTAGTTGCTGTTCATTCATAATCAAACAATGGAAATAGAAGTCTTCTAGGTCAAAGACTCCAAGAAGTGCTGCGCCTTTTATTACAGGAAGGACAACTAAAGGTTTATGACTGACGGGTGTTAATTTTAGCAACAAAAAGAAAGAATAAAAAAATATTATGCACATCCGAGCAAAAGTTGCAATTCTACAATGTTCTTGATTCTTTCAGTCTGTAGTCCAATATGCTTGAACCAAATTAAGCCTAGCGATGCTGTCACCACAATGAAGTCTCCAGACGTCTTGAGAGAACATGAAGTCTAAAGATGCATTTGTTTGGTCAAAAAGGATGAGTAGTATCTAAAGGTGCCGTAGTTTCTTGTGAATCAGCCTAAAGGGAGCTTTGGCGGTGTTCCTGGGTTTTAATACTCGTTCTCGTTATCTAGGTGCCCAAATCGGAAAACTGAATCAGCTTGAGCTTTTTCACCTTTTCTTGTGTGTTATGTCATCTATATTTGTGAGGCACCAGTGATTTCAAATGGCATGATTTCATAAGGTGCTGGATGTTGGGAAAGCCACCACATGCATACAGCAAAGCATCGGGTGGACGAGAGAATCATCATATATGCCATGGCAAAATTTCAAATTACTAGTTCTGTTGTAAACTGAATTGGTAGAATATTTCTGTCATCCATCCACAACTGTAACTGACCTTACTTTAACAGGCTCATCGGGAGGCGACTGGGACGGTATCACCTGCTGATGGTCACGATGCAGATCCAGTTGCTGCAGCAGAGGAAATGGCTTTCTGCAAAGCATGTGCTCGATTTGGTCTTGGTTTGTATTTATATCACGAAGTATAGACGTCAGAGATCACGCGTGGATCTACCCTGTTTACTTGACTGAGAAGAAGGGTGGTGCCAATGCAAATAAACGAGCGATGTCGCTCCTTGTAGGCATATGAACGTAGCTTTGGATTGCGATACACCGAGTTGAAGATTGATTTGTTGATTATATTGTTCATTTCACAAGGATGGGCATAGTCAGTTTTAGTTGACCTATATAGAACTGCTAAAAAAACTTCGAGGAAGGATTGGGAAGGTATTGTTCTGACCAATTTTCACTTACCTCGCCCGCTCCTTTTCAAGTCCATGCATTTGCTTAAGATTTTATCTAAAAGCTGATCACGTCAGTGAAAATATGAAAAAAAAAAAGCGATCTTCTCAACTGTGCACGTACGTTAGTGGATACCACCTATTTTTGGGGAAAAGTATAAAAAAAATTGAAAATCTATTGAATTTGTGTTAATCCAGTACTAAATGTTTCCGTTGTACAAAGTGAGTCATAGACCGTTTGACAATTTGCCAATACAATGATTAGCCTAGTTTGTAATTTTTTTTAGAGAAAGGTGGAGAGGAGTAATCTAACCTTTAGTTGGCAGGAAAACGATACAAATAATTCCCAATTTATGGTGTAATGTGTGCAATGTCGTTCATACACTTTTTATTTATTTAACGTAGTCCATGAACTATTGTTTATATGTTGAATTTAGTCCTTAAATTATATGAAAATGTTAAATGTTGTCATTGACTTAACAAAATTTTTGATGTGGCTCTCAATTCGTTAAGTGTGAATGGTGGACAACAACAACAAAATGTTAACACATGGGTCATCCAAGTAACATATTTATTTTAAATGAGGATGGACGCGCCATCAAATAACAATGGACACGTCAACGGCCAATATTTTTAGAGTAGATGGATAAAAAGATGGATGTGTCGAGTCATCATTTTTTCCCGAAAAAAAAAAAAACTCTCACATACAATAAACGTAATCAAACAAAGCTCTAATTTGTCATTTGAGCAACCGGAAGAAATACATTGAATATTTATTAATAATTCACGGATCACATCGAACAAATTAAAAATTCAGGATGAGACTGCACGTTGAGTCAAAATTGAGTGACCATTTGTTTTTTTTATTTTTGTGTCGGCGTTATAAGCCGATTATCACGTAACTTAAACTTATAATTTCATAGAAAACCAGGGTCTCCGTGCCGGTGGGCGATCCACGGTATTGTTTTATTTTTTATTTTTACTTTTGCCGACGTCGTTATATAAGGATGAAACTCTGCAATCCTTCCAATGACTTGACTAGCATTTTGGTCTGATCGTCGCCGGCTCCTCTGTTTCTCCTGTTCTTTCTCCTTCCGTTTCAGCCATGTGCGGTGGCGCTATCATCGCCGATTTCCTCCCCGCCCACGGGTCCCGCAGATTGACTGCGGATTACCTGTGGCCCGATCTGAAGCAACCGGGAGCTGTCGGCGTCGCCGCCGCCGTCGACGGGTTCGACGCCGATTTCCATGGCTTCGACAGGGGCGAGCCCGGCGACGACGTCGGGGATGATTTCGACGATGGGGCGGGGGACGCCGATGCCAAGCCCTTCGCTTTCTCCGCTGCCGCTCCCAAGCCTCGACGCCGCAATGGTATCGACTCGGTCGCTAGAGCCTGCGCCGCCTCCTCTGCTGCTGCTCCTCCCAAGACACGGCGCCGTGACGGCGATGTAGCCGCCAGCAGCCGCGGCTCCTGTTGCCGCTCCAAACTTTAGGTTTCTTTCCAAAGGGGGGGGGGGGGTGGGGTGCTCTCTTCTTCTTCGTGTTTCTGGTGCTGATCGTGCTCCTTTTTCGCGAATGGCGGGCTCTGCGCCGCCGGTTGCCGACTTAAACAATAAAAATTGGGGTTCATATCGCCGGTCACTTCCGGCGACGATCTGTCCTGTTGCCTGCGTTGTAGTTTTTTACGGCGAAGCATGATGACTTTTGGTTTCTTTGACTACTACTCTTTTGGACTCTCTATCTCGCTCCCGCTCCTCGTGATCCGATCACGAACCACCGTCGGATTGGTCAAACGCGAGACCGTTGGTCAACAAATGCTGTCCCCCCCCCCCCTCCCCCACGTTATCCTGGTCGGGCCCGAGCTCAAACCTGTATCTTTTACGTGCTGATTTTTTCTTTCCCAAATTTTACACAATTAAAGCAATTTTCCAGTTCGATATATTTCACGTCCCCCGGTTTTTCACGAAACAGGTCCTGATCCTTTTCACTTCGTGCCAATTGAGTCAATCCGGCTAATTTTAACTGAAAATTATTCGTGCCAATTGAGTCCATTCGGCTAATTTTTGCCTCCCCTCCTTCCTCCACCAGGTGGTCGCCAGGCCACAGCAACCGGCTAGAGGCGAGGGCCGACGAAACAACTTTGTCGGGCAAAGCCTCTCCCCCGCCAGCCACTAGCGAGGGCAAGCCTCGCCAGCCCCTAAAATCAATTGACAAGAAGTGAAAAAGTTTAGGACTTAATTGGTTATGACTGAATCGGCAAAAACTTAATAGGTTTAGGACTTTTTAGACAATTTTCCCCAATTATGTATTTCGGTTCTTTCTAAAACATTCTCTTTTAGTCTGAAAACCAAGTTTATATGAATTATGCAAGTGAATTTAATATTGGCAGTCACAATTTCTCCGAGTTCGAAAAATCTTCTCAAGACCAAGGGATTCTTTTAGGCGATTATGCCAGGAAAAAACGTGGAATCGTGTGCTCTGCCCCCAAGGCGCATGTCAATCATAGCTTGTCCTTGCTTCCGAGCAATAACATGACAGAACGCCCATCATCACTCGTTTTGGCAATAGCAGAAGGATTTGTTTCTGTCCCTTTTTTTCAAATCTGCCCACGACCCAATGGATAAGCTGATGAAATTGATAGTTTCATTTTGTCTATATGGTTAACCAACATCTCAAGTAGTAGTAGTAGATGAATCTTTTGTCTACAACCTCCATAGTTCCACTTCTCATTAGCTAGAGGCTGGCAAGCCGGTCTTTGTAATTATTTCCAACTTCCACACCGGAAGAACTCCATAAGAACACAGCGAAATTGACTCGAACATTCCAAAGGCGAGGTAGTGGAACAATTCGAAAAAAGGATTTTGGTTTCGGCACGTAAAAAAGGGATGTACACCTAAAAGAGAAGCTAGTCCATACACATGCTTCTTATTATAAGTATCACCGCCGACAAAGTATGATACAGTTTTCAGTAATTGAGTAGAAACCGAAAGCAGAGCACAAGTGATATTTTGCACCGTAAACATCAGACTGCAATCATATAGAGTTTTCAGCAGGCCGAGGATGGTATGCACGGCGCCTCAGCTGTGACTCTGGAGTAGGCTGCTGTAAGAAGATCTTGGTAGGGTCATTGGGATCAACATATCTGCAAAATCAACAGCGGATGGTTAGTACTTCATCCCTCAGTTCAGCTTCATTCAAAATATAAAGAATTCCGTCATATGCTAACATACTGAGCCATTCACAAGCGTAGCAGACCACGTTAGAAGACATGGACCAACATCTTTTTTGCAATTGCAATTGGCACTATGTATCCCTTAGTCATTCAATATAATGAGCCTGCTAGGGTTCTCTCTCTCTTGCTCCTAAGTTTTTTTTCTATAGAGGAGAGTACTAGCACTTACGCATGTCTCATCATCTCATCAACTGGAGTTTCTGCTGCTTGTAAAGGATCCACACGTGGCGCACTTTCAGAGTTAACATGCTGATTGTATTGCCTCACAGAGGATATCAAGTTGAAAAACAACGGCACAAAGGTCCCACATCCACCCTCCTTGAACAATATCTTAAAAGTATGAGTGGAGTAAAGTGCCCTGTGCTGGTCATCTGGTACCACCTGTGGTCATTACGAAAAAGATGAGTGTCCAAATTCGTAGTGAATAATGATGCATCACAAATTGTATACTTACAGGCTCCACAAAGCCAGATATGTTGTTGCAGAAAAATATTGGTTGATTGAACTTCTCACCATGTACATATAGCTGCAGAGTGAAGCAATAACAGTGGTAAGATGAATAATACTAAGTTACGCAGATAATGCAGAAAAGTCATAATGTCCACCAGAAACCCCACTTTAACTTGAAAATCACAGGAACATCTAACGATCATTAAATTAAAGGTAACAATGACAAAGCGGTCCTCAACCAGGAAAATGAAAGAGAAAGAACTTAGTCTAGCCCTTTTTTAGCACGAAATTTCGATACACAGATACGAAACTATTTGTTGTTAATTGAGGATGTCAACAAATACATAGGCCATTGTTTCACCCTCTACCAATTAATCATCCAGAGATTCATTTTCCTCGTTTTACTTTTGGGTTGTAGATAGCAAAATTTCAACAAACAACAATAAAAAACTTCACAAAGTCCAGGCTCTGAGCCCATTCCCATCCACTGTAGGAGCTGTTCACTCTTTATTTGCAACTATAATCATATTTATCATTTGTATGTTTTTACTAGGCCATCAAACGAAAATCTATTTTTCACTGAAAAAGATCATTTCGTACATGAAACACGAATGCCTCGTATGAGTACGTACTTAATCGTTTTGTTTTGGTCATCAGAACTCTTCTTAAGAAAAAAAAAATTCAATTGAATCAGGATTCTAGTTAGCCAATGTTTTCTGTGTCAAGTCTACGCCTACACCAAACCACAGAAAACAGTTTCAAGCAAATACAGAATACAGCCAACATTTTTCCACCATAAGTGAATTCGTGATTCCCATCAACCAAGTAACTTGAACTCTCATAACAAAGTACACAAGATAGTTCAAACCAATTTCTCCAATGTTTATCTCGAGAATGTCAGCATAATCATCAACAGAATAACTACCAAACTAATTCATGGCCAGAGTACTGGCTAAGGGAGAGCTTTCAATATCTTGACATTTTCTCAGTAAGAAATTAAAAAATGCAAAAGTATAGTAACTAAACCCCCAAAACAGTAAAACAATAGTGACCTTCCACATGTTTACTTGCATTTTTAAATACCGCTAGGTGGAAACAATTGAATAGACCATCTTGGAGGTAAAAAACAAGCTTAGCTTCAAGACACAATAGTTACAAAACAAATTCTGTGCCAAAACGCCCAACTTTTTCTGCTTAAGAAAATTAGACCAAAAGCCCTATCTTCACATGGACAGTACCCATGTGGAAATTACACAAAGCAGATACAAAACCAGATGTTCATGCTAGCTCAAAATATTCCACCAATAAATCAATATACAAAATGGCACGAGCAAATATCCATGCTAATACATATAAAAGCAAATAACAGTTAGATTACAGACCAGGGGTATGTCAAAGGCGGTGAAACTCCCACCAGGCTTGCTTGTAACAAATACCATCCGTATGTTTGACAAGTAGATAGTTCCTCTTACTTTCACACGACCCCCTTGGGATCTAATGACAATGGATCCAAAAGAACATTCATTCATCTGTCTTACACAATGTCTAAAAGAACCTTCAATAGCTAAGAGCAAACTTTTTGTTTCTTTTAACAATGACACAATCTTAAACACGCAAATGACAACAGTTTTCGGTTGATGACAATTGACAATCGCGCAGGCAATATCATCAACCCAACTTAGATTGATAAAAATAAAGCAACCCCCGATACAATCTACCTGTTGATTTCCCATGAAAACCTTCATATATGCCAAAGTCAACAATAAACCCTGCAATGTTCTAAAAAAAACAATAAACCATGCAGACCATGCACAGATCATGCCAATCTTGCAACTTGCAGATGCACTGAGAATCCCTCCTCGTCGATTTGTGCTTCTTCAAATGCGTCCAGTCCTTAATCCTAATTCTATCATTACAAACTTCCACATCCAAAAAAATATGTTCTTACTTAGATTAACCAACCTGCTCTCAAAAGATTAGGAATCATTCGCGACAACCAGAGCAGAAGTCTCGACCGAAATCCTAGCCTCCAACACAATTCGCAAGACCTAAAGACACAATTCATCATAACCACCTCCCAATCCCACCACGTTACCCAACATTAATTAAACCCGCGAAAATTTTCTCCAGCAAGGCGAATTCCACTACACCCAGAAACAAAAGGCATCTCTTTTCCGGCTATAGCATCATCAAGACGCTGCCCAATCCACGCCCAACCGATCCACCAAGCTTAAAACACGCAAGACAAAGCACAAAACCCCTCAAAGCCATTCCTTTTAGCCTCATGGGTCGAAAGGGTTTCGAACCAACAAAAGCAGTTCTCAGGCGAAAGCTTGCTTCGATCTCGCAACAACAGAGGCCGAAGAAATCGGACAAATTAATAATTACCCGGGAATCTTGTCGACCTCGAACTCGACGCCGTCTCTGGCCAGGACGAACATCTCGTTGACGAACGGAACGGGCATGCCGTTCGGGAACAGCTGAGGGTTCAGAGCCATTGCCGCTTCTTCCTCCGCGGGCGGTCGGTCGGTCGGTCGGTCGCAAAGAAGGATCGGGTCGATTCGAAGGGCCTGCAGATTCTGGACGAAGAAGAAGGAGAAGAAGAAGAAGGGAAAGAACAAGAAGGAAAAGGCGTGAACGAGTCGGTTCGGTCCGGTCGAGGAGATGTCCGGGAACGTTCTAGGCATAGTATTTTACAACATTATGAAAAAAAAAATTTGCAATCGGAGTTTGTGAAACAATTTTAATTGGATAATATAACCAAAATTTCCTACATTTTCATCAATTTAATATATATAATATTATTGTTCTCGTATTGGATTAATGTCACAAAAAAATCTCAAATCAAAATGATATTCGAGTGGTAAAAAATCGTGAAATTAGTACACTCGCGATAAATTTACCTTCCTCCCTTATCTTCTGTTTAATATTCTATTATATTATTGACGTGGAAACACATGCGAGAAACAACTCGTATCGTAACGTGGATTCGACGCGAAAGTTCAACATAAACGAGTCTCCTAAATGACGTCGTTATGGAAAAAGCCAGATCCGAAGAATGAACTGAGATTGGCAAAGCCACGAAAACCTGCTGTTTTGCCGTAAGTGCTCCTTCGAAAATGTGTTAAAATTCATAATTTTGCTTTAAGATTTTGGTAGATTTGTTATGAGTGTACCGGCTTAAAATCTTTTTTGTAACTCGAACAATATTTTAGGGTAAATGTGCACTTTAGCAAGTTTTTGCATTTTCAAAACACTTATCACTAATGATAAAATGTGAGTAATTAAGGTGAAGAGATCATATAACAGATGCCTTGTAATGAGTTAGTAAATATATGCTTAGGTGGCGCTCAGGCGGAGGATTTTTTTTTTTTAATTTTTTGGTGGAGAATGCAACAAATTCTATGTTTGCAATAACGGTGTTAAATTGAATTAAGTAACTCCTCGAAAGTTTTACGATATCATGCAATTTGTATGTACTACACAGAGGTAGTGAACTTTTTTAAGACCAATTAATTTTCAATGACAACTTGAATTATGAATTTAATGAGAGAAAGTAAACGTAAAGTCGATATTCTCCACCTACTTAATTTCTGCTCAGTAAAGAAAATTGTCCCCCTTGGGCATTAGAGCTCACAAGGGCATTGCAGGTCTCTCTTCCTTTCAAGTTTCTGCCATGGCTACAAAGTCTGAAATCTCATCTACCCCCTAAGACCTAATGATACTGAATATACCCCTTGGGAAACCGAGTACTTTCACTAATTGAAAGTCAGGATTCGACCGGATTTACCACCGGGCGCTACCATCGCCGGAGATGGTAGATCGAGAAGGGGGGAGAAAATGCCGTCGGTTGGAATAGGGAAACATGTTACTCAGTATCTTGTATGTTTCTGTCATGAGATTATTTCCGCGAAAGTCGGGCGCCAACTCCTTCTATGCGGCATCAGGCAAGTCGATGCAGTCGAATGGATGACCTTAGCTTGGCTCAAGTTGATGAAGGGTCAGGAACATTGCCAAGGCCAATGATCAGGTAGGTTTTTTTTTTTTTGGTCGGTGATCAGGTAGGTTCGGAAGTAGGAATTCAAATGTCCAACGTATAATTCAAATTGGCTCTCGTTCGAGAGTTCTCAACGAAGAGGCTTTCAGCCTGACCTGCGTCTTCAGAATCTTAGCCATTGCTATGATGTGGAGAAGCGGATATAGATGATTCATCCCCACGAGAAATCAAGAAGAGGGATTCAATGGCGAAGAACCACGAAAACCGTAGGCCGCGTTTGGTATCGTCATTTACAAAGTCTGGCCCAAAAATTGTCATACAAATCGACAGAACAGATTGCGAGTTCTGGCCTGAAAAGAACGATATAAAAGATGGGTGTCTAAACAAGTGCGCCACGTTCGAGATCCACTAATAGTCTGTCACATCACTCGGTACACCAATTTGTGAACCGATTTTAGTACAAGTAGCATTACTCGTTTTGAGCAATTCAGAGAGTCTACTGACAGATGAAGCAAACTCATTTTACATCTTAAAATTGCGACATACGGCATACTCATCTCTTTTCTTTATATTGCCATGATACGAAAGTGCGGGATTAAGTGATTCGAGATGCTAGACTCTAATTGGCGAGATATTGAACTATAGAGAGAAGAAAACTACAGATTTTGCAAAGATTGTCATTGACAAGTAGAGATTGGCGAGGAAAAATGAAACGACTTTGCCTTTACAAAAACTATACTGGGGGACCAACCTCAGCTCTCATATGAATCCGAATGCACGCTTAGCAGAGTCAAGAGTATTGGACAGAAGCATAGAGATTGTCACTGGTCCCACGCCTCCGGGCACAGGAGTAATGGCTGACACAACTTTGATTGCTTCTTCATAGCATACGTCTCCTGTGATGCGGAAACCTTGATTGACGCCAGGATCCTGGACATTACGAACTCTTAATTCAAAGTTAAACCAAAAAGTAACATGTAAAGCTTCTATTACAGTAGATTGCTCAAAGTGGAAACGGAGCAGAGGGGCTAGTTCTTTCAAGTGGGACTGAGGAACTATCATTAGTTCTTAGAAAACCACCTATTAACTGACCACTTATACCACAGCAGCTACTTACATGAGATTATTGGCATCAATGAGCATTTATACATCAATCCTAACCGTGAGTTGAAGCTCACCTCTGTCAGAGTCAGGACCTTACAGTTCTAGATCTATTTGCTAATTTTAGTGACCATGAATCAAAGCTTTCATAAGAAAATCCTGCAAGTAGACTTTTCATCTTCTAAGGCTTTGCCCTTTCTCAATCCCTGATTGTTCACTTGTCATTTCTTTTCTGAAAGAACCACTTTTTTTGAAGCCTTCCCCCTCAAACATCCCTTCCCTGAGCAAAGTGCAGTATATCTGCATATATGCATTGAGTAGATCACAGGGACAAGACTGCCTGAAACAATAAAAAGTAAAAAGACAAAAACCACCGTCAAATTTTCCCTAGTTAACACCTCGGTAGCCCCTAACTTCAAATCCTACACTTTGCACCCTCTAATTTCAAGACCCCACACGATATATCTCAAGGTTTCAAAAAGAGCTCATCTTTGCACCGGTTTCCATACTTTTTCGAACGGTGTTAAACTTCAAGGTAGAAAGTCTAAGCTCATGACACCTTATGACACAAAGTGTAGGGTAAAGGTCGTGAGTGCCAACCAAGAGAAAGCTTAGTGTAATTTTTTAATTTTCCCTCATAAAGAGAGACCTGCCCCCCATTTTCCAATTTTTTCAACAGAAAAGATAGAAACCACAGCATCCTATAACCTATAGCTTACTTATAAAGGTCAATGCACATCACAATGCAAATTTGCATTCGAGTGAGGCCACACAGTTTGAGAATGCCATCAGTACTGAGCTTTCAGTATTTCTACCTGAACTTGACTGGTCCCCATATCCACTACAACAGCTCCCGGTTTTAGCCAACTGCCACGGATTAAATTGGGTTTTCCCACATCAGCAATCACAATGTCGGCTTCACTTGTAATCTCTTCTGGATTTTTGGTGAAAGAATTTACTGTGCTGACTGTTGCATGGTGCCTCTACCAGAGGAATATATTAGAAGAGGGTGATATTGAGAGCATCTTAAACAACCAGAAAAATGCGGAAAAAGGCATGCTTACCTGCAATAGCAAAGAAATGGGTAACCCAACAATCTTGCTTCTCCCGACTACCACAGCTCTCTTTCCCATGATTTCCACACCAGACCTCAACAACAACTCAATACAACTCTTAGGAGCACAAGGAATAAAAAGTGGCTCCCTTCCTTTCATGGCAAGATTCCCCATATTGAGGGGATGGAAGCCATCCACGTCTTTCTCTGGGCTCACGAAATTGATGATTCTCTCCTCATCCACATGCTGGGCAAACATCACATTGAGGTGGCATAATGATTAATATTTCCTTACAAGATGTATTAAATGAATAAAATTTATGTTATTGAAATTTTTCAAGTCAATAAGGAGCTTTAGTCATTGCATCATCCTCCACACCGGAAGATTAAAAGGTATAGTATTGGAAAACAATTATGTACAGGTTAGACCACTCAATTACTCTACGGAATGTGTCGGAACATGCGAATGTTCCATTGACAACTATGAACTTAGCAGACTGATTTGATACAGATTGCCCAAGAGATTCAAAAGAGAAAGGGGAACGAAGCATAAGTCTAGCTGTAGAAATTACTTGTGGCAAAGGGAGTTGCACAATAATACCATTAACTGATGGGTTGTTATTTAATCTGGAAACAACGCGCAGAACTTCATCTTCTGTACATTCTTCAGGTAACTCCTCTACATAGGTCGTTATCCCAACTTCTTCACAAGCCTTCAACTTGACACGAATAAAAGTTCGTGAATCCCTTCTTCCACCAACCAACACAATAGCCAATCCCGGGGATTTTACAATGGTTTCCTTCATTCTGCAAATTTCATTGGCTATTCCTGATCTAATAGCTCTTGCAATGGACTTCCCATTTATTACATTAGCAGTTTGCCCATTAGCTGCTTTAAAGAAAAATTTAAAACAGGTTAGTGTGCTATACACAAGGTACATGAAGCAAGAAAAGAAACAAGAGAAGTAGTCCCGCTCAAGCACCTTATATTGAGCTACAAGACGAGCTACCAAAACTCTACAGGTAGAATAATCAACCTTACAATTCGGATCGTACGGAATTCCTAATTCTCAAAAGGGTTCTATAGAAACCATTCCCAATCATCTCAGTGAAATCTTTAGTGCTTTTGAGGAGCGACTACTGTTACGAAAAAGTCCATCAGATCCAATGAAGCATTTTGCGGTCCTTCATAAGTCGATGCACACGAAAGCATAGTAAAAAGATGATTTTCGAAAGTAGTCCTACGCCTGCTTTTGCTCCTGTTATTCCTACATTTGTACAGATCAGTTTCATCCTCAACAAGTTGTAAATGCAGAAGTTACAAAAGTTACCGAGGAAAGTTGTGTCGCAGCTTCACTCAAGAAGAACCCAACATTTTTCTAATACCAAAAAGAAAATCCCGACATTTCGCAGGAACATTATTCAAAACTTATAGTTGGCACTGGATTCACCATTATACTTCATAGGATGGCTAATGAATTGAATCACGACGACGACGACAGCGACACCACGCGATAAAAAACTAGGACGTCAAAAGCCATTAACACCCGAACCCAAAAACCGCTTCAAGTCAATCAGCATACTGCCGAGCGAGACATGCAGAACAAGTCTGGAACAACGGAAAAGGCAGACGCAACGGGCAGAGGCCATTCACGCCGACCCTCGAAGCGACCCCAATGGACTCGAGCAACACGCATTCCACACCCCCGCGAGCAATTTCAGGCCCATCACACCAGGTGGGAAAAAGGGTGGCGGCGGAACGGTCGCCGTAGGACGATACCTGAAGACTGGGAACGGAAGGCGCTGGTGGAGCTGGGGGGGCCGGGCATCATCCAAACGTCGGGGAGGTTCGGGCCAAGCAGCTTCAAATTCGAAGACAGCGAAGGCGAAGAGGAAGAAGACGATGAAGAAGACGATGAGCGGAGGGTCTTTCTTCCCAGCGACCGCCAGTTCGTCGCCCACGGGCCTCGCATTGTACGTGCTCGAGGAGTGGCGCCGCCGGCTCCGGCTCCGGCTCCGGCTCGCTCGACCACTGAAGAAAGACCGCTTCGGATAACGTTGGATGGGTTGTCGCAGGTTCTTCTTGCTCTTTCTAAAGTTCCGACCTTTAACGAGGGCGACCTCCACGGCTCCCGAAGGAAGTCCAGCAAATCTTTTTTAGCTCCCATCGCTTTTCCGAGAAAAATCCCGCAAAGAAATCTCAAACCTTTTTCATGAACACCATTATTCTAAATCTCACCCATATTTCAAACTTGCAATCTATGATCGAAAAATGCCTTCTATCCATACAACTGTTTCAAAATCCGATGTGGCAGCTTGCGCGGTCGGCGTGACGCCGTGACTACATGCATTCATTGCCACTTCGGGCATTAGAACGTTTGCCGTGACGCTGTCTAAGTCATGCCGGATTCTTTAATAGCCAGTATGACGGAATCTAGCTAAAGGAATTATTGGTCAATATAGCACAAGTTTGAAAGTATTGATGAGACGAAAAAAATTTGAGTAATTAATGCCTATCGAGAAAAATGTATAGGATTTTTTGGGAGATTAATTATCGTTATTTTCTCACCGTTCGATGTTGAGGTTGATGTCTTGTATTCTGTTATCCAAGAGATTATGAGGCGGTTCCGAAAGGGCCCCTAACGACTGGACAGCACGGGGGTCCCGCTCCCCGGTGAGCGGGCGGGGGTCCGAGGGGGCCGCCCCGGCGGGGGTCGCGGGGGCAGCGCCCTCGGGCCACCAGAGGCGTTTTATGTTCAGTCATAGAAGGATCTCTATGGGAAAGTTAAATTGTTTAAGCTATGTGAGCAATTTTGTAATTTGTGCCATGTAGGGTTTCGCTATATATTTAGGGCGAAACAGGTCTCTAGAGAGAAAATGAGGGAGTGAAAAGAGCGGGTACTGTACACTTTTCTACGTTATTAGTGAAACAGATCTCATCTCCCGTGGCGTAGGTAGGCGGAACATCTCCCCTGCTGAACCACGTAAATTCTTGTGTTGTGCGAATTTCCATTACTTTTCTTGCATCGTTGATAGGATCGAATTAGATATTCGACATTCGATTCGTCCGGCTCTAAGAATACCTCTATATTTTCAACTCAAGAACCAATGGATCCTAAATTCAATTCCTATCCTAAAAAATATTATTTTTAAGTGAAGATCTATGGCGAATCAATAGCTCGCATGCAAATAAATCAGAACAACGTTTAATTAACGAGGAAAAAGAGTGTATTACATGTTGAGAGAAATGAGAACTTAACAAATATTCATTATATTAAGTTCCTCGTATTCTTATCTTTATTTTCTTGTTTTCACTTTACACTTTCATTTTCTTATTTACTAAGCCTTTTATCCTCCGTTTGTAATTGAATCTTGTTTTTCGTACTTGCTGTATACTTAATTTGCTTTTTATTTATAGTCTTATAAAGATAACTACAGAAACTCCAAATTTGAATGAAAATGAAATAGAATGGAACGAGGCACATTCAAATTAATCTAAGTCCTCGTAACTAAAGGAAAATAATAAAAAAAAGAACATTTGGGGTGAATACATTCATACTTTCTTGAACTACAAAATTCTTCTACTAATAATTATTAAACAAAAATTTACAGTTAATAATAAATAAATTCGAAAAATGAAGAATTGAAGATGATAAGATATAACAAGTTGTTATTAACAACTGCTTACCTTATGCATAATAGAAAATGGTATGCATATCATCTGCAGAATAGAAATGAATTTTTTGTACATAAATTTAAATAACTGTCATTTTTCGCTCGATATTATCTTATAACGTAATACTTATTTCAATTTTAAAAATGCTTCAATGAACAATTTACAAATTTTAAGTATGTCAATCAGGGACGAGGTGGGAGCCGTTTTACAGTAATGACTCTTGGGCAGTCAAAAAAGATGAACTGGAAACCAGAAATAGACATGGGTGACATGGTTTTTCTACTGTTAAAAGTGTCCAGCACTTTGATTTTGAAAGGCCCAACCTATTCATGGTTAGAATTCCTTCCATAGATGTAGATGCTCATCCAACAAGAAGGCCACTGCCTCCTTTTCATGGGACGTCCAGGTAAAGGTAGACACACCAGAAACACATCTGTGATTCAAGACGTTTTTCTCTCTTAATTCATCGACAACCTTCACTGCAATGTCAAAATTTATGTTTAAACAGAGGCTTCTGAACTATGAAAACCATATTTTAAAGTTTGGACAGAGAGAGAGAGAGAGAGAGAGAGAGAGAGAGAGAGAGAGAGAGTACATGTGGAGCGAGGGTGTCTAAAACTTGAATAGCTTATGGTGAACTTTCAACACTAGTCGACATGTCAATGATATTCTAGTGCCAGTCCTATGAATACATTTGCCATCTCCGCTTCTCACAGCTTCATCTCCTTCTTCCGAAACCGACGGCAGCTGAGGCCCCACGGTTTCGGCGTCATTCACGGCCTGGACATGGAAAAAGGAAATCTAAGACTAACCGGCATGTATCATTTTGCTGCCGAACGAGGACAGATATAAGATGGTACTTTCGACGTTTTCTTATCAGACATTTAAAAGGTAAAATCCGTTGCTAAATCCCATATCTGTGGTTAAGTAATATGCCCGAGCTAATAATCTTACCCCATCATACCAATGTATTGAACTATCTCTTATGCCATGTAGATAACCTGCAATGCAATTAGACGTTCAGATTTTTCAGTAAGGAAGCTAGATGAGCAAATTAAACACACAAGAAGAACTGTATCAATTAGGCACTCACTGGAGTATGCGTCATCCTTAAATATCAATAAACTGCGAGGCATCAACACAATAGAAAAGGGATGATGGTTATTCAACCATTTGTTGGTCCCGGAGTCAGAAGCCCCATTAAGCTCATCATCCTCACAATCACCGCCAGATGTATTAGGGGATGACCTCAAACTGGGATGAGGAACAAAGTCCATTATCGCAGCTGATCCAAGAGACAGAATTGCTACAACTGGATAATAAGCAGGCCCATCTTGGTGTGGCTGCGTGATACAAATGAATGGGGATAATAACTAAATCCAATTTGCAGCTGAAAGTCGCTAATAAATAAAACAGACATATAGCTCATTCTAACATTATGCAGTGTCATGGATCCCAGTAGGGAAAGTAAAAATTGTTGAAGCTCTACCAATAGAAAATTTCAGTATCTTCTAAGCGACACAGTGATTCTACGTCATTGACAGAAAAGAACATGGAATTCAGGACAAACCATTATGCCTTGGTCGGGAAGGTATTCATTGATGAGGACGTGATTAATTGCTGAAGGAAACAACCCTGATTCTTCAGATACGTTTTCAGTAACCTTCTTCAACCATGGAGGCACTGCGAGAGAGAGAGAGAGAGAGTGCTCAGTCACAATGGTGAACAAAGCAATGATACAGCCTATGTAAAAGCAGCAACCAACAATCAACTAGGGCCGAGCAAAGCATCAACCCTACTTTACCAGCAGTTTCCCTGCATTTGATTTGAGATTTTCAACTATTTAGTTTTTTTTCTCTTTTCCTATCGATGTCTCAAAATAATTGCATGATGACCACCAGTCCACCAACAACAATGCTGAAGCTGCTGCTCTTACCAAAACACTTTAGAAATTTCAAAATCAACTATATCTATTTATTTTACCTCAAGTACTATTTGGTGCTTGTTTTTTTTTTTATGCCAGCTATGAGAAGGACCAAACTACTCCCATTACCTATGCAATTTCCTTACAAAATTTAAATCCAAACTTGCGGACAATTTGCAAACAGTTTTAGCAAGTATGGATCTACTCTCTCAAGCTCAAAACACACTAAAATGCAGCAAGAACAAAAATTCCATCATCATAACACTTATGATGTGAAAGCATGATGTGGCCACAAAAATAAGTGTCATCATATTCTTGTTCTCTTGAAAATGGAGGCAGTACTTAAGGTAAGCTATGAGCAAACAAACCCAAGATCTATGCTTGTCACCCAAAAAAAAGAAAAAGAAAAAATCAAAACCATGCATTACGATAGTTGAATTCTGAATGGGCTGGGTATTAAAAAGATCATTCGATTGTTCTCGACTTACATTCTTGGGGAAGTAGACCCTTTTCATGGACGATGCCGCCTGTCAGGAACCATCATAAATGAAGTTATGATCGATGTAAGGACTTACAGAACATCTTTATTAGAATGAAAAAACCACACGCACTAACGTGCGCACACACAGATATGGTGGATATACTAACCCCAATTCTGCAGCCTCCTGTTCTTCAAAGATTTCCACTTTGATACTGGAGAGTTGTGTACCTACACAGGTACTCAATATTCAGCATTACAGATGAAATCATTAGACATGAGAGGAATAGGATAGAACAACCATGTAAGACACTGAATCATACTTTATCTAGCAGCTGCGTTTCTTCGCTATCAGTGATGAAGTCTGGAACATACATCACCGTTGGCACGGTGCCAACTACAAAATTGTCAAGATTCCTCTTTGATTTCATTCTCACCCTTCAAAGGAATTGATATGGGAAACATCAGCAGAGAGCAAATAAAGTTTGAGAAAAAGAAAGCTTCTATGTAAGGATGATAATCATAAAATTCTTTTTGCCCCCAGAAATTACTTGAAATAGTGCCAACTTCTCACACAGTTTAGGCTTCAAAAGATTAAATCTACAGATGGAAGATATGAAAGTTTCTGACATGGCCAAAATGAGTATCTTTGTGAGGATGGACAACTTGTTTCAATTTCCAAGGAGGAAATTCTGCCCTAAATCATAATCTTGAAACATAAGACCCTCTCTGAAATTGAACCAAAAAAATTCCCGGAGAAGTGTGAATGCCCATTGCCCCCATGAGTTTCATTTATACCCTCGGAAACTAATACTCATTGGTTTGACGTTTAAACACTCCAAGAGTTTTTTTTAGGCAATGGAGCCCTCCTCATGGGACTCAATTTCAATTTCATATACGCATTCATCAAAGCCCACCATTTTGGGTTTGAGGGCATGCTTATCATACAATTCTTCACTCTGCAGCTGCAGGAGAGTGAAACAAGCTGAGGGTGAGGTATAGGGCAGAGTTTTGCAACTTAAAGAGGAACGACTTTGAGAATGAGGCAAAGCCAGAGAGGCATTTTGGCCAGATATCTAAGAATTTGCACCACAAAAACATTTGTTAGCTACGAAAAGCATGATCTGAGCGACAAAGTGATGAATTTGGACAAATATGGTCATCTATGAAGTTAAAAAACCAGCAATGTGACAAGGGTAGGACGACTTCTCACTTGAAAAGAAATCAGAACTGGAAGTCTAGGACAAAATAACTACTTGAAAAACTAAAACCCGAGGAACAAACGGAGACAACTCGATATCCAATGCACCAAATGACAATGGCATTAAAGTCTACGAAGAACGGTAGCTTCTCCAGATTTTCAATCCACAATAACACCAGCCATATTCAAACAAAACCAACCCAACATCCATAAACAGCAATCATGCTCCTAACTTCTCTGATCTTTCATAGGCTAGCATATTGACTCATCCCTATCAAACACCTCCAAGTCCCACCAAAAAAAAAAAAAAGAGCTGCGGCAAATTCAGGAGCCCACGAGCTGCTACTTTTCACAGGCCAGCCATGCAGAGAACTAAAACCCACTTGAATCATCATCACACATGGCACTCAAGAAACAACCACGGCGTTCAAATCACACAGCAACTTCTCTCGCAGCTCATACAACACATCCGCAGTCCATTCCACATCCGACATTCATACGTAATTCGACCGGGCACGAATCAAACGCGGGCAGAATCGCGGTTAGGAACCTGGGACGAGTGGTTCGTGTCCGATTTCTTCGCAGTCTTCCCGCTTTACGGACGCTGGAAACCGTGGGAGAGCGCAAGACCGAGCAAATGGTTTCAAGAAAAATCAAGAAGAGAGAAGGAAGAGCTAATCGAGTGGGAAATAAGTTCTTTGGAGGCACGGAACAGGGAAACGGCGACGTTTCTGTCTCTTTATTTTGAGGAAAATGACACAAACAGTCCATAATGAGTAATATAGTTTCTGAAATTTTAATTTGTTCAATGTGACCCTTAAACTTTAGCTCAATGTATAATATGATCCTTAAACTTTTAATTTGTTCAATGTGATCTCTGAACTTTTGGTATATATTCAAACTAGTCCATTAATTATATGAAAACATTCAATATTGTCCTTCCATTAATTTAAGTTCAAGATAAAACATTGAACATTTTCATATAGTGCAGGGACCAGTTTGAACATGTACTAAAAGTTCAAAGACCACATCAAATAAATTAAAATTTCAGGGATCACATTATATATTGGGCTAGAGTTCAAGAACTATATTGCACATTGGGCCAAAGTTGAGAGATTATTTGTGTTGTTATTACCTTTCTTTTTGTAGAGGGTTGATCAACTGGTTAAGGGCCTGTTTGGCAACTTGCCAAATAATAAAAATTTCTGTTCTTTTGTTCCCAAAATCAGTTTGGGAGCAGAAATCCGTTTGTTAGATTTTTTGTGCTCGGGCACAATTTTTCAAAAAATTGATCCTAGAATCAGTTTTGAAATAGAATCAAGAAGCAAAAAAAAGTAGCTTCTTGATTCTGGAACAATTTTTCCATTTCTGATTCTTCTTCATTTTCTTCTTTTTTTTGGTTTGTTGTTGTTCTTCGGCCTGCCGCCGGCCACTCGCCGACCACAGGCCGTCGGCAACCGGCCGCGGGCCAGGGCTGATGAGGGCGTTGCAGGTCTTGCTGCCTGGGCAAGGGCGGCTTGCGGTCGCAACAGCAAGGCTCGACCTCGCCCAGATCTGGCAAGGCCGACCTCGCCGTTGCGACCGGCGAGGCCGACGGCGAGGGCCCCGACGCCCTCGCCGGCCCTAGCCTGTGGCCGGTCGCCGTTGCCGGCGACTGGCCTTGGCCAAGGAAGAGAAGGGAAGCCGGCAACTGGCCTTGGCCAAGGGAGAGAAGGGAAAGAAAAGAAAAAAAAGAAAGAAATATTAAAAAATTCAAAATATTATTAAAATATTATTAATAAAATGAAATTTTGTGTAGCCTCGCCGTCGCCTGGGTTGGCAATGGTGAGGTCGGCCTCGCCAGATCTGGGCAAGGTCGAGCCTCGCCCAGCCAAGGCGAGGCCGGCGGCGAGGGCCGCGACGCCCTCGCCGGCCTTGGCTAAGGAAGAGAAGGGAAATAAAGAAAAAAAAAGAAAAAAAGAAAGAAATATTAAAATATTCAAAATATTATTAATAAAATGAAAATTTTGTGTAGTTACGAAACACATTTCTGTTATTTTTCTATTCTAAGAATAGAAATTTTGGGCAGTTACCAAACGCCTTCAAATGCTTAGAAATTGTTTCCGGGCACATAATAAAAAAGAATCATTTATGAGTAGAATCTGTTCTTGAGCACAGAATGGTTGCCATACGCAGCCTAAGCATACTTTTGCTCCTTGCTATTTGTTCTTATCCTTTATTTTCTTTTTGCAATTAAATCTTCATTTATTTAAGCAGTGCAATCAATTCTTGAATAACATTTTCTTAAAAACGATTTTAAAATAAATAAATTAACGAAAATATTTTCATCGTCCACAAAAATATTTAGATATAAATTGTTATCGATAATTAAAATATTTTTATTAGCTAATTATTTTAAACGATATAAATGATTATTTTTAAGAAAATATTTTTTAAATTATTTATTTTTCTCTAGATAAACGAATCTTAAGTTAAATTATTATGCACCGAAAGTTGATGCCTCGCAATGATGCGACAATATATCACAAATTGAAAAATAGGGAGAGAAGTTACTACATGGGTTGCACCCGATCAGTAATCAATGATATTGCTACTCATAGTAATAAATGAATTTATATTTATTTTTTTTGCTAGAAGGGGGAGTTTTGCGACGGAGGGGCGAGGACACGACCTCACTACAGCTCGCATTCGTCCCGGCCACGGGAGAGGCGGCGTAAACAAGGCCGCCTCGCTTGCAGCTGAGCAACCACGCCATTCACCTCGGTAGGGTTGTGACCTTTCGCTTGCGATATGTGTGCTCGGATTCAATAGTTAAAGTTCAAAACTGATCAAACATGACGGCTGAATTCTTAGCATTCGATTTGCCTAGCTTGATTCAAGCCTATGTTTCATAAAAAAAAAATGAAGAACGAATGTGGAAAAATTTGGTTACAAAGTGGTAGCATTCAAAGCGAAGGTCTATTCATCAAATTATTTAATCATTATAGAATAAGTTGCTGGTAAATTAATCGTTGTATTTAACTCTGTTAGTAAAATACTTGTATTTTTATATAGAATACACGTATGCATGTGATTTCAAATAAACTTTCGTCTTTCGCACAATTGCTGAACTTACGAAAAAAATACTCGTTCTTTTGGAATGGACCGAATTATATACATGTAAAGCCCTTGTTGTGTTATACTCGGGTAAAAGTACTTCAACTTTGAACTAGTTTATGTCTTTTTCTTTGGGGAATTAACGATGTAACATGTCAAGAATAAATTAGGGATAATGATGCAAATGATCTTCAAATTTTGATCAAATGTGTAAACTGATCCATGAACTTTTAATATATTGTTATTCGATTATGTTGAACATGTATCAATAGTCTATGGACCACATTTAATAAATTAAAAGTTTAGGGACTGCATTGCTCATTGGACTAAAATTCAGGGATCACATTAAACAAATTAAAATTCTATAGACCATATTGCACATTAAATCAAAATTTGGGGATCATTTGTATCATTATCCCAATCATTTATATGCCCACACACCATGATTACTTTGTTTCGTATTTATAGAAATAAGTCTAATACTTTTTTGTGATCTCTCACCAAATAACACGAATTGATTATAAAATTCACCTATCCGGTACGATATTTCTCTAAAATCTACTTTAAATAGCCCTATTATTGGTGAATTAACGATGTTAACATGTCAAGATCATTTACATGCCTAAAGTATGGCTCGGAGACAGCGGCCTAATGGCACGAGAGATTAGAGACCGGCATGATGACGGTAGAGGAGTGTGGTGGCTAAGCCAGGGTTTGGGCCAGAGTAATTTGGGGATTTTTTTATGGGTGGAGGAAGCCAGGGCTCAAATGGGGTCATTTTTAAAAGAAAATGGATAAGTGTAGTGGAAGTCCTAAAACTTATCACGAAAATGCAATTGAATCCAAAATTTTTGAAAAGTGGAATCAAGTCCTAAAACTTGTTACGAAAGTACAATCGAGTCCTAAAACTTTCAAAAAATGCAATCAAGTTATAAAACTTGTCATGAAAGTGCAATCGAGTCCTAAAATTTTCAAAAAATACAATCAATGGAAGGGCTTAATTAGACCAATTTGATAAGTTTTAGGACTTGATTGCACTCTTCGAAAGTTTTAGTACTCAATTGTACTTTTGCGACAAGTTTTATAATTTAATTGCACTTTTTGAAAGTTTTAGAACTCAATCACACTTTCGTGACAAGTTTTAGAACTTCCAATGCATTTATTTCAAAAGAAAATGACAAATTTATAAGTATAGACACGATAATTAAAAAATGTTAAGTGAAAAGTGGTATCTAGAGTTAAAATTCAAGGTGCAGATATGTATTTTTGCAAGCAGATGATGCAAAGTGATTATGGATTAAAAATTTGAGGACGGATTTTTTTATATTTTCTTTATATTAAAAATGCATAGACAACATTGAACACTAAAATTAAGAAACTAATGGAGGTACCCGTAAGATTTGCAATGGTCCATTGAATGGATGACACGTGCCATTCTTGGGACCCATCGTCAGAAATTTTGAAAGTGTCTCTCCCCCTTTGTCTCTCTCCTCTCTTCTGCACCTCTCGTTTCTCTTCTTCTTCCCCGTTTCTTCCTCTCTTTTTTTTCCTTTACTTTTCATTTTCTTTCTTTCCCTTTGGCCTATGGCCGGTAGTCGATCATGGCTGGCGACCGGCCACAGGCGAGGGTCGCTTTCGCCGAATTCAGTGAGGGCTCGACCCTCACAGCTAGGGCAAGGTTTTATCATGTGAGAGAAGGGAGAGAGACTTGCAAACTTTCAAAATTTCAAAATTTCTAATGGTGGGCCTCAAGGATGACACGCGTCATCCATTCAATGGATTATTGCAAATCTGACAGGGCATCCCTTGCATACCTAATATTTTCTCTCACGGACTTAATTTCAATAGAGGTCACCAATAACTAATTATTCGCAGAACGTTAGGGGGAAAAAACATTGATAGAGCAGTAATTATTTTTCACGAAATCGATAGCAAACGATGACCAAACAATTTTCGAAACGAAATCACCAGACAAATCAAACGTACCCGTCCGAAAGACCTCATGCCCCGAATCTATAATCATTTGCTTAGCATATATTGTATAGAACAAAAATGATTTCTCTCACCATCTCTTTCAGAAGAAGATTTCTCTCCTTTTCAAACAATTCTCATATCTTTCTCAGTCCCATCTTGCATTGCCATAACAATTAGAAAAGAAGAAAAAAAAACCAAAAAAACAAAAAATCCTCAGAGCTTCTCTATATGGAGTAAGGTGGAGGCTTGGGCATGCCCTTGACGATCCCGCAGAGCAATGCATTGTCGGGAATGTTGTACTCGTCCCTCAGGGAACGTTGCGGGGACAGGACGCTGATGTACATGTGCTGTCCCAGGTACCGCCTCTCGAGCAACTCCGACCTCAAGTTCCACATCCCGGGGTTGTCGAACGTCAGCATGATCGCGGCCCACGACTTCGGGAACACCTGGACCGTGTGCCTGCTCACCGCGTCGAGGAGGTTGTAGTTCTTCCTCTTGTCCGGCGTCCACCTCCCCGGCTCGACCCTGAAGCAGCCGCATTGGATTTCGCACAGTTAGATTTCGCGAGAAAACAACGTTGGATTGAGACAATAACGTATTAGATCACTG